TTAGAAATCATCTATAGTCACCTTAAAGTTGTTGTACCAAGGAGATATACTTTTTGAGCCAAACTTGTTTCTTCCAACACTATCAATCAAAGGAGTCCATTTTGACAATATTGAAACTCTTACTAAGAAGTATAATAGCATATAGTCTATCAAGAAAGAACTACAAGCCTATTAAAAGAGGATTAAAAGCAACTCTGAATGGATCATGAGTTAGAGTTACCAATATTGTAACCTTAACTTATTCACACCTCCCTGACTAAGTCAACTAATCATCATCAAGGGATATACACAAACTTTTATAGGAGATGCCTGATCACACTAGGAAAGAGAGTGAAGAGTTGTTGAATATCTTTAAAGTATCCGATGACAAACTTTCTTAACTATACTCACTTCACATCCTCGTATAGAATAGTTTTAATTAAAAGTGGTTCTGATCTTGTGTCACACATAGTGGATGATGCCATGGCTAACAAGAAATGGAGAGAAACTATGTAGACTAAAATGAAAGCATTATATAAGAACAAAACATGAGAGTTAGTTAATCTTCCCCTATGAAAGAGGGGTGTAAGTGGGTATGCATAGTGTAGTACAAAGCAGATGGTACTATTGGGTGCTATAAAGTAAAATTGGTAGCTAAGGGCTTCACCCAATCATATGAGGTTGATTATTTAGAAACATTTGGTCAAGTGCCAAAGTTAAATACGATGAGGATTTTTTTTTACTTGTAGCTCACTTTCATTGGCATTTACACTAATATGATGTGAAGAATGCTTTTTTACATAGTGATTTGGAAGAATAAATTTGTATGAAACCTCTTCCATGATTCAAAAATTCAAATATATCATGAATAGTGCGTCAATTATAATGGACATTATATAGACTCAAACAATTACCTAGAGTATGTTTGGCAAATTGCACAAGCTATGAAAGATATGAGATATCAATAGAACAATGGAGACCATACATTGTTTATCAAGCCCTCAAAGACAAGGAGAACTACTATTCTACTAGTATACATTGATGATATTATAATTACAAGTAATGACTCTAGTGAAATATAATCACTTGACTAAAATATATCCTAGCAATTTGATGTCAAATCTTTGGGAAGATTAGGATACTTCTTGGGCATTGTAATGGCTCACTCATGCTAAGGAATTTTCAAATCACAACAGAAGTATAGATTAGATTAACTTCAAGAGACAAGCAAAACAAGTTGTAAACCAACAAACACTCCTGTAAAATCAAATGTGATGCTTAACCCATGTGAAGACAATCCTCTAATTGACAAAGGGTGATACTAATAGTTAATTAGAAAATTGATATACTTGAATCACATTATACCATACATTGTATTTGCTGTAAAATTACTCAACCAATTTATGCACAACTCGAAAGAATTCTATTTTCAAGCTACATATCAAATACTAATCTATTTTAAAAGTGTAGTTGGCTTTGGTCTCTTGTATAGATCCTATGGTGACGAATTAATTAAAGTCTAGAGAGATGTTAATTATGTTAGGTTCAATCACTAATAGCCAATCCACCAATAGCTGATACTCATTTATTAGCAGAAACTTGGTTACATCGAGGTTTAAGAAACAAAAGGTTGCTGCAAGATCTAATGCAAAAGTAGAGTTTAGAGCAATGACTCAAGACATTTGTGAGGCACTCCGAATTAAAGGTTTACTAAAAGAATTGAGAATTAATTGTTCAAAGATTGTCCAATTGTATTGTGATAACAAGTCGGCTATTAATATTGTACATAATCATGTGCAACATGATAAAAAATGAGGCATATTTAAACTGATTGTCATTTCATTAAGGACAAGATTAATCAAAATTGATTGACCGAACAAGTGGCTGAGATCTTTACAAAAAGATTAACAAGGACATCACTACAGCAATTCATTAGACATACTCTTTCTTGTGTTTTATTTTTTACTTCCCTTTATTTTTGTTATGCCCTTATAAGATCTGATATGACTAGATACTTAAATATTAGAACCATGAAGTGATACTTTTTCTTAGAAACTAATTTTTATTCTCCTAACATTAGAGGCATTGTTACCCTAGGGCTGGATCAAATGATTTGACAAATATTATTCTTTGAGTACACTACTTTAATCTCAAAAAATAATTTTAACCTTCCAAATATTTTATTTCAAACTCTTTGACCAAATATTGATCAAGATATTCTTTTTCTTTCTCATCATTCTTGGTCACAATTATATCATCAACATATACTATCAAAGTTCTAACTTTGTCTGAAGAGAAATATTTGATCAACAAGGTATGGCTCCTTGACTTGTTTCTTTATCATCTTGATCATTACATTCATAAATCTACCAAATCAAGCTCATAGAAATTGTTTCAATTTATATAAAACTTTCTTCAATTCACACATTGTATTTGTAGTCAAAATTTTCTCATACCTTTGTGAAACTTTTATATAAATCTTTTCTCCAAACTCTTCATGTTAGAACACATTTTTAATATCAAATTGTTGAACATCCAAGTCAAAATTAATTGCTAATAATGGTAAAATCTTTATAATATTCTTTTTTGTTACAACATCAAAAAACTTAAAATAAAACCCCATAACTTTCAATATAGCTTCCAATAACTAACTAAGCCTTACACCTTTCTATTAATTTATCTGGTCAACATTTTATAGTGTCAACTCATTAACCATTTAAAACTTTTTTTTACATTGGAAGTCTCACTAACTCAATATTATTTTTTGTAAGACCTTCATCTCTTCATTCATGTAACTTATTTTTCTTTTTCACCAACTAAATCCTCAAATACATTAGTAAAAATGGTGTTAGAGTTTAATCTAGAGATAACAATGGTGATAAACAATCATAGGATAAGAAATGTAAGACCATTTTTATGTGCATGTTCTAACACCTTCTTAAAAACAATAAATAGATCTTCATCATCAAATGTATATGTCGTATGCCATGTCTCATTTGTGTCATATTGAGGGAACTCTTCAACATTGAGTAGATTTCAAAGACATCATTCCTTTTTCGAGTACACAATTAAATCTTTTGATTCCAAGTATTAGTGAGAAGTGAGTTCTAAAATAGCTGTGATGGTATCAATAATGTAGTTTATTATGGTAAAGAATCTAGAATACTAATTACAAAACTTGTTTTCGACCTTCTAAGACTTGATAAGTCCCTTCATCACAAGATGCAGTAAAATATGCTTTTTTTTCATTAGAAGTAACATTTAAGTTTGTCTCTTTCTATTTCCCTTCTATATAAATGCATCACTTGGGTCTCTCATATCAATAATTTTGTATTGGTCAAATACTTTCAATAGCATTTACACTTCACTTACATATTCAATTATGGATTTCCCTCTATCTCAATGCTATCATCTTCATTTTTAACTCAGAGTTGTCTATGAGTACATCTCATGTAAGTTTTCTTAAATATCTCAACATGTAAGAAGATATAAACATATTCTACAAATTTCAAGAATTCTAGTGGTCCACAACTAATCGTGATTCTTGGATCATTTTGATCCCAAGTTTCAAATTCGAGATCTCCAAATTTAGGTCTTAAATTTAGGAGTTGAATAAATAATTATTATCCTTTAAGGATGACACTAACTCATTGAAGCTGCCCAAAATAATTCCAATCATATAGGTGGTCTATTTAGGGTGATTGGTAAGTCTCTATGAATATGAATTTGATTATCTCCTATAATTCAAGATTGTCATTAATGTGACTCCAACATGCCAATCAATTGATGAAGGCAAATATTCACTACATATATTTTTGCACAAATCAAAAGAAAATGTAGTTTTCAAACATGGATCAACAATTCTTTCCAAAAAGCTAACACAAGAAAAAATGATTCATCTCAAACAATTCACAAATCTACTATTCTTGAAGCCATAAAGTAAATGCAGCTCAAAGAAGTCCAACGGCCACAAGAAGGTAAATGGATCATTGGAGAGGCCACACATGGAGCTATGATACCATGTCATTTGCTGCTAGTCCCTTGACCTCCTATGGCCCCCCCTAACTCTTTTGTCCAATGCCCTAAAAGTTTATTCTCATTCTCACTCAATTTTTTACATCAGCCCGCTAATACGAGAGGGAGAGAGAGAAAGGACTGGGCCGATTTAGACTGGGCCAGTCTGGTTCATAATAGGAGAGAGAAAACAATGAAAAAGAGAAAAATTAAATGGATTAAAATAAAAAACAAAAAACATCATATTCCAACAATTACCAACTTACAATAATGCATACAAATTCATACCGACAAAATCTCTGAATAACAGAATCAAAGGCTGACCCATGAAGCCATCAAGCTTATACAATGTGAGATGTGGAAGCTAGTCCTTCCATGGCCAAATCTCGCCTACCTATTCTTCTCATGCTGATCAAGAACAATCTGAAATTTCATTGAAAATTGGACAATAAAGCTTGAGGTTGTCCGAGAAGGGAAAACATCAACAAAGCGAGTGTTTCTGTTCTGATTATGAAAACTCTAGGGCACCAATTGTTAACCTATCAAATATGGAACCAGCATACTGGAAATAAAATGATGAATTCTTCCTAGAAACTTAACCAGTTCTCCAATTTCCGCTCCCATCAGGTGGAGCATGCCAAGAATTCAATCTGGGGATTAAAATGAGCCGTCCGTGAGTCCCATGTTTAGGATCTAGATCATGCAGATTCAGTCTGTGGGCGTTTATTTTCAACATGTTGTTGATAGTGGAGACATACAAGCTCTCTATTTACGTGCAGGAGGTGAGAGATACAGATAGACACAATAGGCTCCCAATGATCTTAATTTGCCAATGAAGCATCTAAACTACAAGATGATCAATGCTTCAGTTATTTCAATCTCAATATAATGGAGGCAAAGTTTAAATGAGACAATGCATAAAAAAGAATCGAGTATGATTACCAAGGCCACTGGTTTCTGCCTGTTCTTAATCAAGAAGGGAACCATGGTGGAAGCCATGGAGTTGCCTATTTGGCATTGTATGTTGGCACGCTCAGATAAAACTTGGTGTTCTTGAAATCATCAAGAAGGGGATTGTAGCCATCCTTGGTCCTTGTTTTTGATGGCAAACCAAATTCTTCCATGAATGAAGCTGTATCAAGCTGCATGATAACGACATTTGATGTAAACAAGGTAACATTCAGAAAAACGAAATTTAAAGAAAAAAATAACACTTTTATCACTAAAATGTGCAGAAAATTGTGAGAGAGTAGAACGGCATGAGGTTGGCACCGCCAATGCAGCCCAGATCCAGAAGAGCCCAAGAGATGTAGTCCAAGTCAGGCTCACATGAAGAGCTGGGTAAAGGCTAGACTGGAGCCTACGATGCTACCGTATACAGTGAGAGTAATACACATAGAATATGATAAATAGAACATACTGTGATCGTTCTCCTCTTCTTAATGGGCCTTGATGAATTGGAACCTGGCTGTTGATTCAGCCATCCAGAGCAGTGGTGATCAATCAACTCCAACATGGAAAAATCTGTTGGGAAGAAGATATCTGCATCCCCCTGTCAGAAAGAATAGGCTACTCTTATGAGAAAAATGTGAACTGTCAGGAGAGAAGATTTACTTCTACAACTAAGGCAGCGCAGAGAATCCAAAAGGGAGAGTATCTGAAGTTTCAATAAGATGAGGATAACTAATTTTCAGAAAAGCATTCCTCCATAATAAAGTTGAAGTAGATAAATGCTTGGTTTAAATAGTTCAGTGTTTATAAAAAATTATTTACCGTAATCTCCTAGATTCCATGCTATCTTTGTCCTTATGTGCTTTTCCTAATCTATATATTTCATGAGCACAAATATGGGAATGTAACAACTAAAAGATCCAAAGTGAAGATCCTATAGAAATTCATTAAACAGAAGCAAAAAGAACATTTCTTCAAGAGACTGGGAAAACTGGAATAAGAAAATGAAACTAGATGCCTTGTTGCTAAAAATGTTCGAGTGTCAGTCACCAGACTTGCCTACTTTGACCCACTATCGACAATTAATCTAATCATTGAAGATGAACAAGGGGAGAAAACTTCACCAATAGGATGCTTAATTGTCATTGTGTATGCTCCTACCATAACTTGCCATCAGGGGCCAGAGTAACCAGTAGCGGGGTTCGGTAGAAGGCACCAAAAGTTGGTCTCTCTTATCCTCCCTCATGTCTTGCGATAGTAGGGGAAGCATCGTCCCCATTTAGTGCACAGAGTTCGACAATTAGGTCCATCTAGGACTTTTTTGGGGTGGCCATCAACCCTATCTTGGAGGAGACTACCTTGACGACGGTTTAATATCGATGAGTTTAGCTGTTCTAGAAATTTACTAAAATTATCTTGGAGAGGGCTAATTGTTGTAAGCTACCCAAGTAAAACAGAATTTCGATTAGAAAAGCTTAAACCCAAAAAACAATATACTTCATATAACTGTGACGTGATCTGAACAAAGAGCAAAAGAACATTGAACAAGTAGCCTTTGATGCACCAAACCGCAAGGATAACAAAAGAAGAAAAACAGAAACAAGGGATGCGTGATCATACAATGTCTTCATCTCTATATTCATTCATGTTCTAGCCTTTATGACCATAGATGAATGAAGCTGGAGCCTCTTTTGAGTCATAATAAAGAAATGAAGCCATGTACCACAAAAATATCAAGGCCAACATGAACAAAATAATACTTTTATAATGTCCAATTTATCTGCCATCACATGACGAACCGCAGCTTTGCTCGTAAATAACAATCATATTTATAATAGGAACGCAAAAACATTCAGTTATCCAATTGGAAAAGGTAATGACGGCAGACCTTTGCATCAAGATAGCTATCGTAGTCTATAGTGCGCCCATCTTTCTGCAGAGTAACAAACACAAACCCTATGATGTTAATAATAAACGAGAAGTTGATGTCAGCCTACTATAATATAGGAATGTTGCCATCTTTCAGCATAAAGTAAAGTTATTGAAACAATGAACGGGATTAAATTTACTTAACAACAATCTGGAGCTATTTCAAAATGCAATCACAAACATCAGAAAACTGCAATCTGGATTAAATATCCATAGGAAACTAGGAACGTCAAGAAACCCCAAGTCCAAATAATGTACAATCTATTGTTTATTTATGGCAAGCAGAAATTGAAAATGATGTAGACAGTCCTATATGTTGCCTGAGGCATATCAACGCACTTTGCTGTGAGAAAGTTGAAATCAGATTGATACATCTCGACCAAGGATGACTACCCGTGAGAGACCAGGAAAGGACTGAATATCACAATCTGTCAGCTTCTTCGGAGCATGAAACCAAGAAATGGTTAAATATTTTCCTTACATTGGGAAAGGGAAAAACGTACTGTGGGCATATAATATGTATGCAAGATTTGAAGTTAGAGTGATTAAACCTTTTAATATACAATGGAAGCACAAATTATTAGTTATCTTCAGCAGTCAGGCAAATAAAAGCATTAGATTGAAATTCCTATAAGATCCCCATTAAACGTGAATAAATATGTCAAACATGACCGAATAAGAAAGAATCAAACAGACTGGGGAAAGTACAACAACAGCACCCCACCTATTTTAAGGCATTAAAAAAGAGCATATGACCTGAGCAGAGAATAAATCTATTTCTTGGGAAGCAAGTAGCCTTTACATAAATGCTTCAATGATCCTGATACTTAGGTGTGACGTCATTACAACTGAACTAAGAGGAAAGAATATTACTTCTGTAGAAACAGATATTCATGGCGAGATAGTTTAGACGGTTGGAGAGACAATTACCTTGACAGAAACAAGAGGAGCTCCGTCACCAGATATTCTAACATCAGGGAGGTAACTGAAGTCAGAGGCGATCAGGGACATGTTTGGTAGGGCCCAGTGAAGAACATCGAGCAATTTCTGCACATGAGGAAGGCATGTCACTGACCTTTCACATCAATATTCGAACGAAATACTGTCATATAAGTATCCCTTAATAACGCCATCTTTCGAAGGTTGAATAAATTAAAGAATTTCAGATATGATGAACTGGGAATGTAAATCCCCTAAAAATAAAAAAGATACACAAAACTAAGACAAAGTAAGAAAGAGAGACTAAAACCCATCACCACGTGACTCCAGCTTCAGGAACGAAATATCAGCCACATGTTTATCAACATACAAGATGGAAACTCAAGGCCCTAAGGCACCATAGAGGAAGGAGACAACATGAGTCCACCACTACAGTCTTACTTCTATAAACTTCATGTATAAAGGTAGCAGGATTAGACCCAGCAGATCATTTTCCATGCATGGCATGCACAGACAAAATATACCTGCAAATTTCGTGCGCACTTACATCAAAGATTATGTGTAATTAACGTTTTGAACACAGCATTCGAACGCTTTGACTAAACCAGTATAGACCAAATACTTCCTCACATTTTTTTCCTTTACTAAAAAATTCCTGATGCATGTACATGGAAACTTTGTACGAAATGCTAGAGATCAAATTGATATCTACGAGAGAAATTTCATTTCCCCGTGATCCTCAGCCAGATTGTTACTCTTTCGAATGTATAATGAATGTAGAATCCGCCAGTGACATTTATCATGTCTACTATGATGTGATCAACAATCAAGTCTACATTCAGCTAATAAACGCCGCCATGGACGGTATGATTATGTGCACAAGATGACACGTGAATAGATGCCCACAGAAGTAGACCATGAGGTATGAAATTGCCCATACCAAACAACCGGTTGGCATCCAAGCTCTTCGAGACTTTGGAAATGCTTTTGACCAGACATGCTTCAGTGAAGAAAGTACTTGATTATCGTGAGCAACATTCTGCTTGTCCATTCCAGTAATCTCAATGCAACGAGTAATCAATGGATCTAGAGCCGGTTTATAAATTTCCGAGATTTCTCCACTGTCAGAAATGAAAATAAATGAGCAACATCAAAAGGCGGATCCACATCTCAAGGCAACTGGATGATTTAGTTTCAGACAATACATTAACGTTTTGCAATACATGTCAAGGAAATTAAGATATGACTAGGAACTATTAAAATGAGTCAAACGGAGGACAGTACAGAACAGAATAGCCCACTACAATTTAAGAAAATACTGCTGATAACTTGCTCTAAAAGTTTAAGGAACGATAAATACAGAAATACCCACTATAGGAGAGCATACAAAATGGGAACACTTAAAAATACTACTGAGTCACTATCATCAACCAAAATTAAAAATGTCTCACCATGCAGTATATAGGAAACAGAATCATCACAATGTGTGAAGACAAGATGGACGCTTGAACAGTGTCATATGATTGTGTACATGCTCATTAATAAATGGGAATCTATGCGCTTATCAAAAGACAGGGAATATTATATCGGAGAATTTTAAGGAGTGAGCAGATTAACATGCAATGAATGCTCCTGATATGCCTAAATTGATGCAGCTACCAACTGAGCAGATACTGAAAGTAGCACATTGGATAGATATCATGAGCACAAAGGCTCATAATGTGGACCAAAGTCATACAAGTTTGTAAAGGAAGACATGCAGAACACAGGCCAGCATTGCATTATGTAGATACAAGTTAAGGAGACAAGCATCAGGAAACAAGTACATACTTGCAGTTGTTTCTAGAAACTTTAGTAAATGCTCTTCAGTGATCCGTCATTTCCGACTACAGTGAAGAGACCAGATTCTCACGTATTTCTTTACCCACTTCTGTTTTTTTCCTGTGCACACATATGCGCAGTAGTAGAGAGGGAATTAAGCAGGCCAATGTCTGGGCCTAAGTAGAATTTCACAATGGGCGCCAGGGAATAATTTATCTTATTGATGAAACAATTATAGTAGTAGATCAATGAATGTTTCAAGGAAGCTCCCGCACATTTTTTTTCTTTTCTGTGTATGAATGTTTTATGGTATGTCTTCAGACTCTATTTATCATGTTTATTTATCTTTATTCGAACACCTTATCTTTCTTCTTTACATAGGTGATGTCTGGAGAACCTTTTTAGAATATATAATACCCAGCATCCACATTATGTGCCAAAAATTTTATCTATCACCTAGGTCTTAAATGAAAACCTTTTGTAACTCCGAGTTAATCATCAATTCAACATAAAAAACATTGTCAAAAGCTTTATTCAGTCATTCTGGGATCAGCTTGATATAATGATCGAACAATTTTATCAACCGTTTTTTCAAGTGGATATTGATTCAATAATCTTCCCGACAACAAAACAATGGTATGGCACAAATCTACGAGAAGGTAACTTCTGATAAATTCTTATAGAAGGTTTTAGCTAAAATGCCTGTGAGAATGGGTGATCGGTTGGAATAGATTAAAATCTTCTACTTACCATTTACACAGAAATGTAGAAAGCATTCCTAAAAATAGATATTCCATCTGAATTGCTAATTCATAGAAGTTTGAGCATTAGAAGTGGCATCCAATAATGGAAAACGAGACTTTCAGATTTAGAAGTCAGCCCATGTAAGAAAATGGCAACCCCAATGCTATGATCCGACTCAAACAAACTAGTTTAATCTCAAACAGTCTCAAACCTTGTTTAGCCTGTGACGTATACAATAGATGACAAGCTGTATGCGAGTTGCATTATCCAATGTTTCCGAACTGTTAGACAATGATGACTTGGCTGGATCAACAGACCTGGATTGGATGTGGATTCTATATCACACTAACTTGGTCAAAGATGGCAAACCTCACTTGATGTACATTTAGTGAAACGTTCTTTACAGTTTTGTTGGAATTTGGCTGCATAAAATCATACTTCACTTTACTTTTTTCATCTTGATTCTTCTAGTCAAAATTCCATTATGTCACATCTATCATTTGTGTCCGACCCATACACTCATCCCTACGGTCATATAATAGAACAGCCTTCATTTTGTTGACAGGACTGGTGGCATTCTGTATCAGAGTTGTATGGATCTGATAACCCTCATTAGGTATTGGCGTTCCTATTTATTTTTATCTTGTGGCCACGGATAAACTAAATTTAATTCAGTAACAAAGATAACTATGAAACTTGGATAATTATATTTTCATCATTAGAGAACAATGGAAATAAGACATCTGCAGGTAATTTTTGGTATGTGCACAACCCCTGTTCTTGATATCCAATTGTGCTGAGGCTTCTCTACTTCACATTTCTTTTTACTCCAAAATGCTTGATAATATTAAAGATACCAACTTTTGTCCTTGGGCCCTATGGGTCTCTTTTATATTGTTATCATAACAGAACCTAAAACCGTTGACCTGCACATGAGGATATATGTCAGAATAATCCCACATTCAATAGGGAATCTAGACCACTCTTTACCAATTTGGAATTGGAGGGCCTAATTCTCTTACATATCTTAGCCCCCATGGAAACATTAGAACCACGAATGTATTTTTGATGACTTCTCAAAAAAAATTCACGAAAAAACTCTATATAATTCAGAGTAACCTTCTACGTCATTTTTCTGTTGACTCAATTTCGTCACTGGAGTTTCTTAAAACATAAAGCTTTCGACATCTTCCAAAATTAGTATAAGTCTGGTAGCTTAAACATTCTCGATCAATATCACTGCCAGATGAAGTGAGAATATCTTCAGGATGAGTACAGTAATAGGAGAATGAGCCATACATGTCTTCAGTTTCTTCCATGTTTGATTATAACACTTCGGATGAGTAGATCTTGCTCTTGGATTCCAGAAGAAGAGAATGTATCTGTGTACTAGAATGGAAAGCCCTTAGTTAATTATATAATAGTGAAAGTCTCTAGTGTCAATAACTAAAATGGAAATCATCAGTGAATCCTCTTCTATCCACTTCGTTAATTAGTGTATGATTATTATTAAGAAATATAATTCTTCAAGTGGAAGTTGGATTTCATTCATTTCTTAACAGCCAAGTGCTAAACCCTTCATGTTTGGCACTCACATTGAAAGGAATTTTGCAGTCTACGTACATGTAACGCTCCCTCCATTGGATGCAAAGAGTCAAGTTCCAGCTTATCATCTCATAGAAGATTGGAGATCATGGATCACTTTTCTCGTGACAATGCCATAATCCCTTCTATGACCTTGGAGTTTCCGTCATGAATTTTTTTACATGTTCATAAAACATTGTATGAACTTCCTACCACAAACATTTTAGAAGAGAGACTGCAATTGACACAAATTGGCACACAATTTACTTAGTTGATGAGAACTCTTCTTTCAAATTCATTGTTCATGGTTATGAAGGACAAATGAAAAATGAATAGCATGAAAATTCGTCAAAAAAACATCGTAGCTCAGGTAGTAACAGAATTACAAATATACAAACCTCCCTTGCACCTTCTCAACCCAAACTTCCATCCATGCAGAAACCTGATTTGGGGAGAATATAAGATCGTGTGGAAGATTGTCAAGAACCTAAAAATAAGATATGAACTGTAAGTTTCTGAACATCAACAGTAATCATAGTACATATCTGGAAAAGGTATAGGCAAGGGTGTGTGTATGTGTGTGGGAGAAAGAGAGAGAGAGGGAGAGAAGGGGAACAAGGGGAGAGATAGGTTTCACCATCCGACTATGTCTGTGAGATAGAAGAAAAAGACAAGAAAGAAGGCCGGATGTAACTTGTTGCCTAAATAATCTATCTTTGACTGTTAAATAGTTTCCCTTAAGAAATCAAATCGTCAATTAACTATCTCTTGGCATAATTTTCAATTTAAAAAGGCTAAATTTTAAGATATGACTTAATAATGCACAAGCATTTGCCAAAATTGGACGTTTCTGTTATAATCCATGCATTAGGAGAGTTTTAGAATATCCTACTACTATCATATAGATGCCATAAATTTCAAAACGTTAAGCATTGTTAAATTTAAATTCCAAGAGTTTATTATGTTAACAAATGCAATTGGGAATTTCTACAGTATCACTATACTGCATTGAATTGAATTACACAGTTCCAATACGATCATTATCTCAAGTACACTTTATAAAATCGTCATGCTATGAATCACTAAGATAGGATGCCATTACAAAGGGCCTGGTACCCGTTTCTTCACTCTTGTCCAGTTATAATAACCTCAAGATGATGTGTACGAAGTCTCCAGCATTGATGGCATAGATCAGAGGAGGCATAAATCTATCTATGTCTGAGAGGAAGACCATAATAAGAGGAGAGGCAGGTGGTAAAAACTAAAGCATCAGAAGACTCACCATCTGAAAGAAATGGCTCCAAATAGAAACTTACAAGGGGGAAAACCTAACATTATGGAATACAACAAAACTTAAAATTTTAACTTGTAATGGAAATAACCTATGGCCCTTTTATCATTTTAATATTTTTTCTAATCTTGATGGCAAGATTACATTTGCATTAGAAACAATAATATCCAACTTTGTTCATATAGTAACATTCTACAAGACCGGATAAATGAAGGCTTTCTTCCTATTCTGCCCAACTTAAGATCCATATGTCATGAAAAAAGTTAAGCCTTGCATTCAAACGGAGAGGTATTGCATAAAACCCTCGTCAACAATACAAAAATCCAAAGATATTTCCAAAGATTCCTAAAATACACAAAATCATTTCAACATTGACTAGTGCAAATTAGAATTACGCCAGGAGAGTTAGAAGTGATTCAGTCGCAAGAAATAATATTGTCACTGCCCTATACAAAAACCTTCATATGTGCTTTTTCATTTCCTTCTAGTCCAATGCTATGACACAGTGTAAGCTTTGAGTCAATTTTATTCAACTCTGTACAGGATATAGTCGTCTCTTCCACACAGACTGCAGACATCCTCCAAAGAGAAATAAGCCCCATGAGCAGTTCCAATCAGGATCTTGCGGATTTACGAAGAAATAAATAGTTGCTTTCTGTCTTCTTATTGTTATCGTTCATTATTTTTTTTCCACAGTAATGATAATAACACATGAATTAAAGATGTCTACAAGACTGAGTACCTCAAGCATTATAACCCAACATGGTTGAGCATCTACATTACCTGCGCAAGCCAAAGAAAGAAATAAGATCCTAATTCACCTCAAGCTTTAAAAAATAAGATGTTGAGATACAAGCCAGGAAACTCAAAGATACTTAGCAAAAATGGTATGATGGATTTGAGTGCATCTGTACATAGAGCCAAGGTCAATCTTTATCATGAAAATTACAGTAGCACAGAAGTAAAATGACCATTGACTCAACACAAGTTACAGCAAAGCAAAAAATAAAAACCTACATCTGAAGCTCATGCATGAGAAAGCAAAAAGGTGAGGGTTAATGGTAAAGTATTTAGCTCATAGTTTTTGAATTTCCTGGCCAATAAAACAGGAGAAAAGGGAAAGGCACCTGTGGCAAAAAAATGCGTGCTTGATCACCTTACAACCTTTGTAACCTTATTTGTCACATTAATCATCTTATTAGGTTGTCAATTCAATAAACTAAGCATAAATAGATAACTGCCAAATTTTTACATACCTAATACATGCTTTTGTCGATTGAAAAGTAAAAAACAAGCATGGCAAGAACAATATACTGCAACTCTGAGTCAAGCAATAGAAAGTTTTCTTTCTAGCTATACTCTGGAAAATTAAGGGAAAGCTCAATATACTGTAGTTACAATCACAAGGCAAAGATCCAAATGTTCTGAGGATATATTTACACGAGTATATCGTTAAAATAACGTTTATTACATATCACATATTCCTTGTCAGATGCCGTTAGCATTCCTAGTTTTCATGTTCTTCAAGTTTTCCTGAATAGAAATGCAACTTTGAGTTGCAGAGACACTTATATCCCTTGAATTTATTATCCCTAAAGAGACGTATTCTAAAATAGAAGTATTCATATAACAAAAAACTGGCAAGGAGAATGAGAAAATAATTGTTTCCAGAATGTGAACAAATGGGAAGAAAATTTTATTTCATACGATGAAACTATACAAAACCTTACCCCATCCACTTCTATCAGATGCATCACGGCATTCCACGTGGTAGCGTGATAGATGACTTTGAACATCACCAACAGTTTCCAGTTGTTTCTTGGCAAGTGCAGGACTAATCTCTACTGATCTACATGTATAATAATGTTTCAGAACGTTGCCAGTTTTAATCATATCAAACCACTATCGCAGTAAATGTAGCATATCAAGTTTCAAATCCAAAAATACAAGCAAAAGGAGTTCCTGACTACCTTTAAAAAATTGAATAATAAAAAGCTCACTTTCAACAATTGTTCGGACACTGCCTGATAAATATAAATGGCCTATTTCTATATGTAGGTACCTCTAATTAAACACTAAATGACCAAAAGGTTTGGATCGCAAATAGGCTGAACAAAGTTACCCATTCCGTATCCTCCACAGAATGTTGTATAGTCCCCCCCTAGAAGTAGTGAAAAGTGAAACTTACTGAACGAACATAGAAGTAGAGCCAGTGAGCATACATGTATGTCATATTATTGTATATTTTTGGGGGTGCATTCAACATCATGTAATCCATTATACACTTTGCACATGTTCCTGAACCACCTCCAATTTCATATATCTGCAAAAGTGATTAAAACTTTTCAGACTAGTAGGAAGGCAACAAAACCATAAACCAGAGGGTTTGTAGAATGGAATTTTCTTAAGCTTGTTTCACTAAAATAAAGTGACAGTTTCATCAGCCAGATGAATCAAGTAAATGTTGCTATCATGCAAACATAACATATCGAAAGGGAATGCCTCTGCAACTGTTGCAGGGCATTTCATTACAAAAACGGGGCCGAATCAATAAAATTGGCAAAATCTTTCTGAGTCAGCTACCAATTGAGTCAGCTATGCAATACATGAAATAACTAACCATTCTGCAAGCCTTCCAAAAAAAAAAAAGGCAAAGACTTGGAAGAGAGAGAAACAGAGTACAATGTATATCAACATAAAACACTCCCACAAAGATGGGGAACACTCAATAGACACTCAAGACAAGGCAAATGTAACATCAACCTTGCATTGATCTAAGATATGTGAGAGGCAAATTGAAAGATAAACAGTACTAGCAAAAAGGGAAAATGCAGGACTGCTCTCTTAAAATCAATTGACACAGACGATCCACAGAATATTCATAGAATCTAGAATTCAAAAACAGTCTAGTACAAACAAATAAGAAATAATCTGACGAATCTCTCATACAAAGTTGAGTTCTCAAAATGGCATTCCACATTGATTTTCTTGAGAAGAATCTGAGGAAAAAAATGTGAGGAAAGTAGAGTAACGCAGGGATTGAAAAACTGATCAGTTCTGGTCGTCAATTAAAATTTAAGGTACCAGTCCTGTTCAATCAGGTCTAAATCTGAATTAGATGGCTGAGTTCCATTATTTTTCTTCCATGTGATAAAAGGTAATTGAACAAAGGGATAGTCAAGTGAATCAATTAGCTATCTATAGGTTTCTGAAATTAGTATGCTACTCTCGTTCAATTTCAACCCACAAATCTTGCACGCATTCAAAAAGTCAGCAATTGAAAACAGGAGGCAGTACAGAAAGTCCAACATAAATGAAGCTAGAATTTATAGCCAAATGCTACGGTATAAAAATGAACGTATCTATCTTGAAGCTAAGTTCTTCCAACTAACAGGGTACCAAAGTCTTTCTCAAAAAGTTCATTTCCCAACAAAAGTCAAATATGCTGTGACAATTAACAATAGATGGCCCTCTAGAAACATGAATAAACGTATTTTTTGCATGAACTAGAGTAGACACCATGATCAACTGGCCTGAAGAACAAAAGCCATGCTATAGTTTTGTAAAACATCAGTTCAATTCCAAGGTAATGAGCGTCAGATTTGAACTGTCATATGAGCCGGAACCCACCAAGATCAGATTGGACAAATTTGTTGATTCTCGAAAAAAACAAATTAGAGTAAAAACGTAAAATAGTATCAATGGTATCTTTAGAACACACAAATAATATATCAAGGAATATGACTAATAAAATAGGCATAAAAATCAGTCTCAAACCACATCAAGTTGCCCTTCTGTCCTATGATAACCAATCCAAACCCCATGGAGGAAGGAAAGACTATGCTGATGACACTATGTTTTTATTGTTGATAAATGACCGGTTGTATGTGATTTGATCGTTGCGTGAGACCTTGAAAGAGACTAGCAGTCTTAAGGTGAAGTATGCACAAACAATAGTCGTCGGCCTGAAAGTGGAGTTAAGGAATGTAAAATGGGTACCTCCTCTCTTAGGCTATGAGGAAAGAAATTATCGTTTTCATATCTGCGTCATCCACTCATACCAAAGCCCTTCTCCATAGAAATCTGATAAAGATTGAGCTAAAGTTTGAAAACCATCTTACTTGCCGGAAAGGAAGGCTTGACTTTAGAGGGGAACCTCAGATGTGAGTCGGAGTTATCAAAGTGACTGATCTATTATCTGTTTATCTTCAGAATCCTAAAATTGTGACTAAGAAACTCGAGATCATGCAATGAAAACAAAATTGGCATAGAAATGCTGAGAAAAGACCTGGCTGGCATGATATTAACTAGTTATGAATCTGCAATCATGAGGTAGTATTGGACTTTGCACCGTCTATATTAGAGATTTTAATCCAGCTTTTGTTAAGCAAAGGACTACGGTAGATGATATTAATCGGAAGAATTACAGTGGTGCTAGAACTAGGGATTTTGTTCCTAGTAAGATTAATAGCATCTTCAACCGTTGGTAGCAATGCAAAGTAGGCTCATGAAGAGATCGTATGAGTGAGATTTGTTCGTTTTGAAGGAGAGGGGCCTGTACTTTGAGGTTGCTAGATTCTTAATTTTGGTTCTACACTATGTTAACGAATGATCAGACTTCCAAATCAACCAAAAGAAAAAAGACTTCACAAATGTATTAAGAGAAAAATTAAAATTTTCATGAAGTATACATAAAAAAGGGGAGCATAATCAAATGTTAGGCAAAGGCATCGTCTGTACTGGTAGGTATGAATATCACTGCTTATCTAGGACAAGAATCTAGTCTGTAAGAAAAAATATTGGTAGAAAATATATAGATTATAGAATTATCTGATTTTCTTCGCGAAAAATATTTATATTGGCATCTGGAAGACTACACATATTTCTACGAAGATTAATAAAAGTAATAAATCTGGAATCAATAATTATCAAAAAATCATCGTAATCCTCTCAGAATTCATCCAAAGACGAAACCAACTTTAATAAATGACCCATCACACCAATCCCAATATGTCTTGTCATGATAGGAGGGAGATTAAGGTCATAGGCAGGTGCCAAGACGTGGGAATTCCACAACACCCCAGCAGCTGTTCTATTGAGATTTTATTTTTTCTCTGTTTTTTCATGCGTCCTCCATCCTCCAGTGGGCTGCACGTTCATCTTCTTCCCTTGATAGCAACACTGACCTCATAAACTGGTTGATGCAAGTTAATATCAGATCAGCCAGAAAGCAGGCCAATACTAGATAATCGATTTATTTCTCGTGAATACCACCAGGAAGTCAGCAGATTCAATGTCTTTTCAAAATATTCAGGAGGATTGAACTCCTTTCACATCCAAATTAGATCCAGAACATTTCAAGGGCGGCAAAGGGTACCTTGGTGAAGTTGTGACATGATCGTCATACTTTTATTAGCTAAACTTTAGTTGGGTTTCGCATTGATGTAAATGTCTTTGAGACATATATCTGATTCATTGTTTGAACTTACTCACTCCCCATTAATCCCAAATTGTTCAGTATCATCTCTCCACGAAGAAATATCCCAAATTAATTGTCTACATATTACATATCCAATGAAATAATATTTTTTTTTCAAATTTCCTGAAAAAGCCTCTTAAATTTATAATATCTTGATTTTTTTTAGTTTGAATTTTAATATTTTAGGCACTACGCATGAGTCTAAGGTGTCCTTATGAAACTCTAATATTAATAGTTTTATCTTATATTATTTTTATATTTATGGTTGAGCAATGAAAATAGACCCGATATCAAAACATGTTAATGAAAGCAAATAATTCAAGAACAAATTGCCAATTTCATTTCATCCACTAAAAATATGGACGAGGCCCAACTGATAATAGAACACATTTCAACAACAGGTTGGGTTCCATGTAGCAGTTCTATAAAGCCCACTGAGTACTCAGTCGAACCTCATTCAGTAATGAGTTCAATCCAATAAATAAATTGCCCATGAGCCCATTGAATCATCATGATGGACCTCGTGAGTGAATTGGGTAAGATATCCTTAATTGGCTTTGAACTCATTAGATCATCATCCAAAGTTCATACTCCGTGGGACAAAGATAACTTATGGCCATAGATCTATGCCAGGGTTCATTATTGGTGGCTCTCAGATAACTGTATTTCTCACAGCGATGACTGACACCTGAACTCCAAAGCCACTTTTCTTGAATAGTCTGTGATGTCCTCCCTTTCAACTGTCAATGCATGACACTGGCACAGCCATAACATCCAAGATGCCTACAGCACGTCCAAAACTTGCCACAAATGATATTCACGTTACCCTTCAGCCCTCCTTTTCCTGCTGGTGTCTTTCTGACTGAGTCCTTTCCCATCGTCATTGATATTGCCACTACCATCAGCGTGTACAAGGTCAGGGTCACCTATTGCTCAAGGGTCGCTAGCAGCAGCCCACAAGATTGTTGTCTTTTCTTTTGGATAATGGCACTGATCCTAAATGACCCTCCATTTACTTCAGTTTATTCCCACAGATTGGTGAGCACCAGATGCGGAAAAAGGCTTCAAGGGGGCCACTGTAGTCAATTGTTGTGGCGGGTCATTGTCATGAATCACAACAGGCAGCACCAGACGGAAGTATACGGTGATCTCTAGCAACAAAAAAGACTTTGCGTCCTCTTGTTTTCTTGAATTACCAACACGCATATGTTACTGCCACAGCCTTGTTCCTTTGCTAGCAAGTAACAATCATCTGTCTACAAGAAGGCTAAGGCCCCTTCTAGGTCCGCAGTCCAGTATGGAAAGGGAATCAGCTGAACCATGTGAGATCGGATGACTGATCAAATATGATTTCTTTTTTTTTCTCAATTTGAAGAACCCTGATTCCCATCTGATCAAGAAAATACAGCTCAACCGAACTGGCCAATCCAGATCAAGTATTCGCAGGGGTTTCCTATCATGCCTTCAGTCCAAACGCACAAGAAAATGAAATATGAATTTTAGTGGACATAGAAGAACTGTTGAATTATTCACAAAAACCAAAAGAGATGTCTAAAACAAAACCCATAAAATAGTCAAAACTTTTTTATCAGCGAGAAAATAAATCGGACATAAATTTTCACAAAGCTAAAACATAAACAAGTCGTAGTTGTGAACCAAAAAAATAATAGGAATAGAATTACAAGAAAACGTGATCCTCAAAAGAGCACAGCAAATGTGGAAAAAAGGAACATGGCATAAAGTGACTTTAATTTATTGCACAAGATGCAAAATATTGAAAAATATTTCTGAAGTTGAACCTAGTATTAAAAGGAAGGAAGAACTGACCTTTAGTGGGACTGAGAGGTTTGCCGTACGTAAAATTGCTTCTGCAATACCATGTGCATACCATGGCTGAAGAACAGTAAAAATAAAGGCCAAATAAATCCACAAATAGTCATTGGCAGACATTCCACATTAGACTCGAACCAAGAGTAAACACCAGGAACTATCATATCGATAATTCAAGGTGGGAATGGACATGTGGCGTCAGTAAAATACATTCATAGAGAAATATATCTTATCAAATAAAAACCCTGAGCCAATTCAGTAGGAAGTCACAAACTCCCCTAGTGATATAAGACTTGCTCGACAACAGCTCATTAACTAGGGAATGAATTTGATAGATAAATAAACCGAGCAAAAAAATACATGAAAAGGCTCTCTTACGTCGGCTATATACAACAACATATCACAGGATGCTCGTAGCGATATTTATTCAACCAATAAATATATTTTTTCCTTCAGAGCTCGTGGCGTTTTTGGCCTATCTTCAAAACCACGGCTTATTAACTTATCCATACGAACAACAAATTTCATTTAGTATTTCCTTCGTAGGAAATTTCTCTTTCTCACACCTGTTTAATTTCTGAAAGTGGATGAAAAAATAAAAACAGCTACCTCTCTTTAAAAAGTCAACAGAATAATCCTTCCCGAACCTCTCTTCACAGTTTAAGCATGCATTAGCAAGCCTTAATATGCACTGACTACTGAAAAGATTCCATATTCCATGGCAATCCCCAACCTGAAACTTATTCCCTGAGATGTCCAGTGCTACTTCAGCTACAACGGGTTCATCTTGCAAGTTCCTCTTTCTTGAACTCTAAGCTAAAACTTGAAAAGACAATCCTTACCTTGAAAAGCTCCACTGGTGTAAACCATGCAATGTCATGCTTCTTGTATAGACTGTGCAGGTGTCTCATGTAAGCGTTCCTACCTATAAAAGATTAATTTCAGCCCCCAGGATATATTAACTGAAAGGTTAAAACAACGTGCATAACACAAATAAAGAGAACTCTCCGTGACATAAGGCCTCAGCATAAAAATAAAGTTAATTTGTTCTTTTGCTAAATAAACATTGTGTAAGTTCCACACTATCTATCCATTATATCGCAAGCACACCACACCTCATTGACTATATAAAAAATATGCACCACATATCAACGAATTTCAAAAGGAAGAAAAAAAAAAGTGCACGAAATAGTAGAGGCTTTCAGGGTGCCTGCATTGAAGAAGTCAGAGGCTAATGGTAGTCCGGTAGCGATTGTGAATCAACCAAATTCTCTTCATAAACTTGGGTTTTTCTTCATACTTTGATAACATTGAACAAAACACACAGATCTCAAGAAACAAGCTCTTCCCACTGCATACCATTCAGAACAATTATCTGAAGCTCAATGCTTCAGCAAAGGAAGGCAGGTAAATCCGTCCAAAGCACTAAAAGATGCAACCAAGCTTAGAGCTACAAACTTGATTCTCATTATCGAGAAAAAGTCACTCAGTGAATCACGAAGCCCCTAAGAATTTCATGAGTAACTGTGAAAGGATTTCCAAGCAGACCACAAGACTAGTGAGGTAAGAACACTCATAAAAGGTCAGTAATAATATTTTACATTCACGAGTTGTGCTTAGTGCCAAATTCTGCTGATAATGCTTCCCTATGAAGTTGGAATTGATTAGAACAAAAACGATGACAGTGATGTGGTAATGATGATGGTAACAATGACAATGATATGGAAGATCATGAGAGGCAGATAGCTTTCCTGCGTCTTTACCATAAAAAGGTCGTCGATTTCATTGGAGACAAATTTGAGTACAAATTGAGCATTATTTAAAGCGTGCCACATAGGAACAGACATTGAAATGAAACCCCAACCCAATCAGCTGCATGTCGAACTGGCTTTTACAAGTTTTTCAACGCAAGTTTAGGAAAATTTGAAAAAGAGCTACAAGATCAAGCTTCAGTCTGGTAAGGTAATTGGATGAGACACCATGTCCTAGGTGATTCCCACCCCCCCTCCCTTCATAAAAAATGGCTGTATGCCACACAAGCATGTCATTGTTTCTTGAGCAATGGAAACAACTTTTTGGGTATTTGGCAGCAGCTTTGTTCTATTCCTGCATTAGCTTCCAGCCGTGGTAATCGATAATCCTAGTGTTAGAGGTACATAACCTTGAAGCTGATTGAAATTAATGCTCCTGTCGAGCACCCCGACGGAACCTGACCGCTTGGAGAAGTAGCCGTGATCTGGGTCGTACAGAGCAGACCTGATGAAGTCGCGGACCTATCAACAACATTCAACGAGAAACTCACCGGGCGAACGAGACGATCAAACTCCGAACGAGACCCAAACACTCACCAGGACGGGCCGGGTCGGCGGCGGCAGCGGCAGCGGCAGCGGCTCTGGATCACTCTCCTCATCCCTGGCACCGGCGCAGCCAGTCCCCGTGGAGAAGAGACACGAGGGTGAGTACGACGACACCAGGCACATCCACCTCGACACAAGGGATTCTCTGCCAATGACTGATACATCCGATGCTCCTCCCGCAGACGCTCCCACCGGCAATGCGCAAATGCGGCGGCGCGATTGTTGTGCCAGCCGTACCATGCTCTTCTCTCTCTTCAGAGGGAGAATCCCGGAGATCGGGGAAGCCCAGGCGACCCTGAAAAACCTCACAACGACGACCTGTTCGTTGCAGGGGGACTAGAGAGACTTCCTAGTAGCCGGAAGGTGGTGCTGCTATTTTACTAAAGATCACTTTTTTATAGCTAATCATACTCTCTCTAATACACTAAATTTCTTTAAAATATTGAGAATGTAAACACGGTTTCACCCAGTCTGATGACGTGGTATGCCACCTCACCACCACCTGCCACGTTCTCCGGGAGGGGACGGAACTGTCATTAAATCTATTTCGTTCATAGTTGAACATACTTTATCAAATGCATTAAATATATTTAAAATAATTGAGAACGCAACACGGTTTCACCCCCCCCCCCCGCCTGATGACGTGGCATGCCACCTCACTACCACATGCCACTAAAGATCCTACTAATAATCAGAATAAGGAACTTGGGAATTAATGCCACGAGATATTTTTATAAAATATATTTCCAAATATAAATATATATATATCCTTCCCTCAATATTACCTTCTTCCTATTACCTAAGATTGCCATATATTTTCCCATTTATAAATATAATAAGAGGTAAATACATTATATGACATGCATTCAATTATGCAAAGAAGAGTAGGAATTTACTTATTTCTTCACTATATATCTAACCAATGCAATACACATATATGTGTAAAGATAGTTAGAGAGAGAGAGAGAGAGAGAGAAAGTCAACACAGAACCCAAGTTGTAACTTAAGACCATGAGATATATTATATCTTTAGAAGATTATCCATGTGGCGTAAAAAAATTATGAGGGTAAAATCCACACACTTAAGTCAACGGGAAAGAACTTCTGATATTTTTTCATCAAATTCTTCATTGAATAATGGCAAGAAAGAAAAACAGAGCAATGATCCAAGAAGGGAAAAACAGTGATTGCATAGACTACTACTTCCTAAAAGAATGATAGCCAGAAGATCTTAAAGCCCATAAATTTCCCAGAATGATAGCAATGATAGCCAGGCTGCCAAAAACCCCACGTGAGCTTATTCTAGGCAGATTTTGTGTAGAAGCGGACGGCGAAGGCCAAGCCTAGGATCGCCAAGGGAACAAGAAACTGAAGCAACTTGATCAGCAAGTCAGAGCCCTTCTCCTGGTTGTCCTGTGGCTGCTTGAGTGCGGCGTAGTTGGGCTTCAAGGAGACTGTTGAAGTGTTGATGTTCCCCACAAAGTATTCATCCAGCATTGCTCTTGCAGTGGTGCTATGCCCCACATCTTCAAAATCATTAGTCGCATCTTTTCCTAAAAGGGAAATCATACTAGTTATTATAGAAGTAATAATATTTGACGTTGACAATTTGCATGAAGAAAAGGAGGCTGAGTCAAGCAGCGTTACCCGTTGCAGTCACCAACACTTCATCTCCCCCCGGATGATCATCTAAGAATTTTGTTACATCGTAGACCTGAAGAAAGTTGTCAAAAAACAAAAATGAGTGAGTGAGAGAGAGAGAGAGAGAGATCGGAATTTTTTTGGCTGAAGTTGAAGCTTATGTAGCATGAATTAACCATGATAGCCCATAAATTGAAGGTTACATGCCAAAGTAATCTAAATTGATAACTAATTAGACTAAAGTAAGGAATGTGGAGTCGGAGCAAATTGACCTCTGCAGCTAATCTAAGGGAAGGGGGCAGGAGCGCAGCTGATCCTAGATCGGCAGCTGCACTGAGTACCGGGCAATGTGAGCCCATAGCATGTAGACAAATAAGAAACTGATTTCAGAAGGAACATGGAGAGTGGATCTAATCGCAAGACAATTCTGTATACTGTGAAAGCGGGGCTCTTTGGAACAAATATCGTCAAAGAAGAGAAGATAGCAAATAGCAGGCTATTAGCTGTTTATATGCACTAACTGTAATGAAATAAGAGGCTCTTAACTTTACTCGTCGGATTTTAGCCAGCAGACAGTCTATTGGGAGACAAATACACAAAAAATTTACATTCAGGAATGTTGAAACCTCAAGAACTATAATTGAAATTGGGAGAAGACTTGACGAAAGAGGGGGGGATAAATTTTAATACAAGGAAAGAGCAATTCAGGCTTACTACTTTCCCAGGATGTGAAAATAGGTTGTTAGACTTAGTCCAGAGCAATACGACAAATATTTCAGCTGACAGAGACCAGAGTTTTCTGAGTGACTAAAGAGGAAACGCAACACTTTAACATGAAAGAAATTCAAGAGGTGAGTAGCGAAGAGGGAGAAAATTTCAGCGAAAATTCTTGATCGGGTCACCTGATGCCAAGAGCTTTGATTCGAACGTGCAGAGTCAATGATGACAAGGACAAGGGAGTCAAGAGATTAAACCTACAGACCTTCAACCCTGTCAAGCTGTTACATTTAAAAAAAACAATCATCTCTATCTCACCTCGAGTCAAAAATTAGATCAAGATTGTACATAATATGAATAAGGTTTAAAGGAGTTACAGAAACAGACAGACAAATTTTTATTTGCAAATGCAAAATGAAAAACGTCAAAACATCTGAATGCAAAACTATCCAGAGAACTTTGAGGAGCTTATTTCCCACAAAGATAAACTTTACATTAGATCTCTCAATAAAACTTAAAAGAAAAAATCAAAAGTCTACATCTTTTAGTAAAGCACAATCCATCTCTAGATCTATAAGCATTAAAATGCTACTCCTAGGAACTCTAGAACTGTAAGATTAAATGTAACTTGGGACCATGAACGAAACCCCAACTGAAAATATTCGTGACGTACTTCTTCAATACAGAAGACTAATCAGAATGACATGCAGATTCTGAATGACAGGCGTACCGCAAAATAATAGGAAAAAAAAACTCTAATACGAACACATTTCAATCATATCTTCAAGTTGAGCAGACTCATGGACGTAGCCTAAACCCGATAATCAAGTCTACAAGCACGAGTTTCCTCTCTCCAGCTTCATTAATCAGAAAGTGACAAGAATCCAGGAAAAAAAAAACCATACCAAGGAAAAACAAGTGGAAATGACATAAAAATACACAATATATCACATCCAAACGCATCAGGTAACTCACCAAGTAACTTAACATATATCCGTGATATTATTCAGTGACTGGAAGAATAAGAAGATTTGTGTGTGTGTGTGTGAGAGAGAGAGAGAGCGACACGTTACCTTGTCATTGATGAGGAGCCAGCAGTCTTCCCGAGTGTTGTGCTTGGATACATCTGCAAGCGTGAAGACCGCGCCATTACCGCCATCGGTGCTACCCATCCTGCCTCTGCGAGAAGAGCGTACAAGACGTATACGATCCGGTCTGCCCACCAAGCAAAAGGGGGAACAAGATCGCAGGAGGTGATGGGAAATGAACAGGAGGAGCAGGCGAGAAAAGTGGGCAGGGGAATCCGACGGATCGATCGATAGGGGGAAACAGAGCGAGACTGGGGACGAGGGGCACCAGTCACACAGAAAGAGAGAGAAAAAGAGAGAGAGAAAGAGAGAAATGGACTGGGATGATGGGGATATTCGGTTATCCCTTTTGCATATAAACCCCAATTTTATTACCAATAAAGTTATACTGGTATACAGTTTTGTTTGACTCCATTCTTGGGGCCTCCAAGAATTAATTAATCACACAAACCTGACTACAATCACGGTTTCAGAAATAAATAATAAAAGAAAAAAATCATTAATTATATAATCATAAATTATTCATCCGCTTAATTTTTCATCCCACACAATCTAATTTTTTTTACAAATAAGCTGAAATATACCTATTTTAATTTATTTATCCGAATTTAGGTGATTAGATTTGACATTTAAATAATTTGATAAATAAAATAATATATTGATAAAATATGGAAATTATTTATTTTAGGCTTAAGAAGAATGAATTCATATTCTTCAATGATTAGAAACATCCACTTCTGAGAAAAATTCTCAAGGTCCTAATTTGCAATTCTATATGAACGTAGGAGGTTTTTTGCAAAAAACTCAACTGGAAGCATCTGACATTGTGGGCCCCAGGAAAATGTCGACATCCGCGCGCGCGTTTCAACATTAGAATGATTGAACGACAACAATTGTCTGTGAATATAGGGGCTTTTTGCAAAAAAATGTACGGGAGATCTCGGTCTCTGGAGCCCATTTTGTGGGCCTCCGAAGAATGTCGTCTTCCTCCTCCGACACAGTTCCAAGGTGGACACTCAACCATAAAACACTACTGGGCCGACCCTAGCGTAGCCCAGATCTCCGGCCCAGCCCGCTTTTTACTGGGCTGGGCTGAAAACATACCAGCAGGCCGGTTCTAATAAGACAACTGGCGGCGTTTCCCCCATATAAGGCGGGCTCCTCGACTTGTGTGCTTGGCCCCGCTTTTAACATGGAGTCAAATGGGGCCCACAGCTAACAATTAGAAACAAAATCAAACACAATGCAATCTCTCTCTCTCTCTCTCTCTCTACATCCATCTCTACTCTACAATCTCGGGAAAGAAATTCAGAGTTCAGAATTCAGAAGGGGGGAAAAAAGGAACATAATAACTCACCCGGGCATGAATTCAATGGAATCATCCCCTCTCTCTCTCTCTACTAGGGAGAGATCTTGGGGTAGTCCATTCCGAGCCGGCAAATGGGGTTCTCCTTGATGAGATTCAGATCCACCTGCACCACAGTAATCATAAATAAATTAATAACTCAATTAAAATCAGTCAATCAATCAACCGAGCAAATCTGATATGGTCATTTCTGCCCCAGAACCAGAACCTTGTGTCCAAAGAGATCCCTGATGTTGTCGATCCCATACAGAATCATGGTCGGCCTATTTAACAAAAGAAAACCCAAAAATATCTCAACATTACAATTAATAAGCGAGAGAGAGGACAAGGTTACCCTGATCATCTCAGTTACTGATTTATTCATCTTTTTATTTATAGAATTTTACCTTTCGAGGGAGAGGCCCCAGGCAATGACAGAGACGTCCTCAGGGAGTCCCATGGGGAGCAACATCTCAGGCCTGAACATGCCGGAGTTGCCGATCTCCACCCATTTTTTCAGGCCCTCATGGTAGCTGCCCACCAGCCACATCGGATTACCAAAAATCCGTCAGATATTAACAGAAATTAGGAAGATTTCCCTCACCTGAAGATCTCCATGCTCGGCTCTGTGTATGGATTGTAGGCCGGCTTGAACCTCAGCTTAGAAATTCCTACACAGCCCCACACACCAAAAAATAAAATAAAATAAAATAAAAAAGCCCTCCCATTAAATAATTTTGTTTTACTGTAAAAGAAAATCGCATGAAACATTAAATTAAATGCATCTAAAAAAAATGTATAGATGAGTACCGAGACGGGCAAAGAAAGATCTTAAAACTCCTTTGAGGTCACCAAGGGTGAGGCCACGGTCACAGATGAGGCCTGCAATCAGATAACCCAGCATCAGGCAGGCTTACAAAAACAAGGAACAGAGATTCCACAGGGAGAGAAGTCAGGACCTTCGATCTGGTGGAACTCAGCGAGGTGGGTTCTGTCGACGGCTTCATTCCGGAAGACCCGGTCAATGGAGAAGTACTTCTTGGGGGTGAAGGAATCCTGATCTCGACATTCAGAGAGTGGGTCAGAAGCCCAACCTCTTCAACACAATCTGAGCAAGAGCAGGCTAGAGGCTCTGGTTTCTAGTGAGAAGAATGAGCAATGGATATATTTTTTTTGGTTAAAAAATGTATAAAAGTTCATAGCTACGACGGGATTAGCATTTATTTTAAAGATAATTTTAAATAAAATAGTCCATGTTCAAGAATGCAGGACAGGTTTAAGAAATTAGTAGGCGGTGGTTTACCATTTATGCCATTGAGGTAGCGCCATGTCTTCATCATGTATTAGTAGGCATTAATAAATATAATTTTTAACCGAGAAAAGAAAAATATAATCTCGATTTGGCTCTCCGAGCTAATTTCAAAAAATTTGTTATCGTCAACAGCATCAGATGAATGAAATGGGAGTGCCATTGAAAAAATAAAGCGAAACCATGAACTTGGCACCTGTGCAAGCAAGAACAGCATTCTTGAAGAGACTGCAGTTGTGTGGGTTCGGAGCACGTTCTTGTTCGCCTCTTGCCTCTTCCAATCGTACCCATATCTGCAGAGGAAAGCAATCATCCATGAGAAATGACGTCGGCTGCAACAAATGACTACATAAAGGTGTAATATGGCGCACCCTTTGGACCCAAAGCCGCCGGATTCATGGACGCATTTGACCTTCTCCACATAGTCTTCAGGAAGTTGCCTCGTTGTGGACGGAGCTGCAGTCCATGTTTCAGAACGAGAGCCGTCAATTTACAGAATCTGATTCATTCGTGGAAATCTATCGAATGGGTAGATGTGCGGAACCCAAGTAATATAATGTACTTCAGTGGACGTAGGGACCTCGGAGAAAAAAGGTGTCGTGTGAATCACGAGCAGGGTGCTGCTGTGGCTGGAAAAGGGCATCGAAATTCCAAAAGCTGACAAAGGAGAAACAGGAATAACCAAAGATAGTGAGGATATATATATCTATATATATATCTAGAGAGAGAGAGAGAGAGAGAGAGAGAGAGAGAGAGAGAGAGAGAGAGAGAGAGAGAGATTAGTAATCTATCCTACATAGATTTCAAGCAAATAAAGCTGTTAGTTAGAAACAGACATGCAGAGATGTCTGCATAACACCATCTTTCTTGTAGCATATATAGCGCTTCTCAAAAACCAAAGGCATTTCAGGCATCGAAATGCATTCTAGTAATAAAGCGACATAATTCATTAATCTTACACCAGTTTCCTCCTAGGGAAACTTCTGGAAACGGATTTGAAAACCTAATGCATATTATGTGGGCAACTTTCTCCCACCAAACACTTTTGATAATAGGAGAAAATAGCTTCAAACCGTGCTTCGTCATCTCATTCCAACTCACGCATGTCAGTTTGGCTCTTCAGTCAAACTTGAGAAACAGCTCTGGATCAATTTATTCATACTAAAAATAGCATTCATGATATATATATATATATATATATAATTATTCAGAAACATAAACTGAATGTTGAAATTACGTATTGAATTTCTAGTAGTAGATCTATAATCCAAATAGTTCTTGTTATTGTTCCAGAAGAAATGAAACAGAGGATATGGTAGAACTAGGACTGTCATTGTATGAGGTTTACCCAATGCTAAATGCAGAGGCCCATAATAGATTGATATAAAAAATCAGAAGCTGTCCCATAATAAAACCGGTTGTTGCTGATATATATAAATATATGTTAATATTCTCCATCCCTCTTCAGCAAGAAAGCAATGCACATACGTACACACTATTGCATACATGGTTCAACGGCATCAGTCATGAAGGGAAGGAAATAAGGAGTTCAGGAGTGGCGCAAAACGGATGGTAAGTTCAATCACAGGAATCTAGTCTTCCTCGTAGAGTGCTTACAAATGTACCGGATAGATATGAATGCAAATGAAAAACTAGAAGACAATGCAGTTTATTACCTGCTTTCAACAAATTTATTCGTTGGCATCTCAGCAAAACTGCAGAAAAAGAAATCACAAGTCATCAGAAGTGTAAGTATCCGACTGGGATCAGATAAACAGATCAGCTGTTTTCAACCCATCCTCGTGAAGTGCACCTATGAGAAATTAAAAGATCGTGCACAATATCAACACTAAATTCCACCAGCTAACATTTTACCCCATTTGAAGGAAGATATTCTGAAATTGCTCCCGCACCTGAAAGAATGAAAGAAAGAGGCATGTTAAACACATCCACATTATCCATCGAATGAAGGATTAAATTTGGCATTGGAGATGGAAATGGAAGTTAGAGTCTAGGCATGTGCATAAACTTACAAATTATCAGAAGAAACATGTAAGGTAGATAAAGAAACTATGCAACCCTAAGATTTTTTAAGGAATCAGGTCATCCATGTCAAAGCCAGGTGATAAATGAGCTGATAGGCCCATCCATATTGCCACAACGTTTTCTTTAAGCTTTCTATTATGAGACTACTCTAATATGCCTCGTCACATAGCGACCAACTTTTGATCCTTGTCGAACAGAGAATAGAGATAAAGTACATGCATCACCTAAAATATCATGTTAGAATATTCAGCCATCCAATGCAAACTCAATAGAGTTCATCAATTTCACCATAGGTTTTTTATATTATTTTTGAAAATCAGTATAATAAATCCAGTCGAATATAAATGTGAGTATGAACAACTGACCATGGCAGAATATTCATCGTGAAAAAATAGTATAACAAGGGGTGCAAGTTACAAAGGGGGTTACTAAAAAAGAATATACAGGAGCATTGGATGGGCATAACTGAGGTGAGAAATGGCTTGGAACAAACAAGATATAAGCGAGACTCAATTGAGGGAAATGTGACTGTAACGCAAACGACAAAGCTAATTCATGGAACTATGGGATAAGGTAAATCGATTATGTGTAGGATGGCGGATATCTCATCTTTCGTAGGGAGCTCTAAACTACCAAAGGGTAATAACACAGATAATTGAAACTTGATATATTTCCTTGAACAACAAAAGAAAGGAATGGTAAGGATACTAGGCATCGCAAGAGATTAAAGTCCCCAATAATAATAAAAGCTTTATACACGAAGAAGAGAAGTTGCCCCCTTCCTAATAACACATCTAACAGGATTGTATCCATGAAGTGGGAGTAATTTCTCTGGCACACAATGCTACTTAAGATGAGCAATGCACTTATAAACATCAAAATGTAATCAACTAGATGGAACATTTTAACGCCTACCTTTAGAAGAGGATGGTCACAGCCATATTCAAGGGGGCGTGCTCCTGCATTTAAATTATATTCCTTGAACTCAAGATCCTTCCAGTCACCCCTTCGAAATTCATCGAACAAGAAATTATAAGCATTCTCAAAACATCCATGGTTCAAGAAACTCAAGTCATTTTTATCATCCCAATAATATGCCATGCCAATAAGTGAGAAACAGAACATGCCCACAATACACACATTTCAAAATAACAATGTGCATATGTGACACAAAATAATACCAGTAAATAATGATGAATGCACACAGTTTGTGGAAGCTAGGTTTGCTTTTATTTTACGATACATAAAGGATGTAAATCAAGGTTAGTACAGGAGAACAAGCAAGTACGAATACTATGAATAACCTTTCCCAGATCCAGAGAGATATCCCACATCCTACTGATATAGTGAGTGTAGATACTTCCATTTTCTCACAAAATTGTATCCGGTCCTCTTTTGGAAGGACAGGAGTTGTAGTACTCTTTATTCTGTCTGGAAGCAGAGGCTAAAGATGCTATCACCGTAGAGATCTTTGATTCTACGGTCAATAGATATTAAGGATATTTAAGTAACCAACACAACTTTTGGTTTTCTCTTGACAAGAAAATTGTCTGTAGAAAAAACAGATTTGACAGAAGTAGTGATGGGAAAAAGAAGGTAAATACCATTCGCTCATGTTATCCTATCTTATCAGAGGCACAAAGCACCAAGCATTTTCTGAGCGTGGGATTTTATAAAGACACCTAATCACAGAGGACTTCACACTAATCACATTTATATGCAATATTGAACTCTCACATCAGATAGTGTAAAGTCATTGAAGCATCTATTAAATTAAAAAAGGTCTTCGGAGGCATCCCCTGGTGTATCAGAGGAGAAAAAAATGTTGGCACCAAGGATGGCTACTCAAAGGTGAGCAAGATATTGGTGGCTTATCGTGGATACAATTCTTTTGGCAAATATAACATGAAGGGAATAGCTACTCATTTGGGTCACCTTTGAGTGACAACATTTATTGCATGCAGATTGGAATGAAAGAACTTGTTCCCTCAAGTTGTAGTCTCCACCAGCTGAAAACATTCACTGATTTATAGTCTCCACCAGCTTGTCGTAGAATGTGGAGATTCTGCACATAGCTCTTTCTAGAGCATATTGACACAATTCATATAGATCCCTTTTTCTCTTCAATCTTTTGCTATCATGTTGATACACTGTTCTAAAAGAAATTCCATCGCAACCAAACAAAATTTTCAAGCATCGTGCCTTTAATTCCAATAGAATCCGAAATAACCCACTCTTCATTGCGACTTATTGAGATTATATAGGAATATGATGAAATAGTTCTAGTGAATTGACAACATGTAACTTGTCACAAGCATACGTAAAATTGACAATGTAGCATTACTCACACCATACCATCTATCTAGACTAAAAAGAAAACGTAAATTATACATCAGGTAAGGATAGCTAAAGATAACATGCAAATACCTCAGCAAAATTTCTCGTGTTAAATCTGTGACAACTCTTTTCCTTTTTATGGTGTACTTCGGACCTTTCGTCAAGGAGTACCCTTTCCATATCCTATAAAAAAAGAAAAAAACCAAAGCAAAGACAATGTCAGACAAATAAAAAGAAGTGCGGAAAAAATAAATAAACAGACAAATGGGCTAAAAAACATCAAACAAATAAAAAAGGGTCAAAGGTGCAAAAGAGAGAGTTACTGTCTGTCGATAAGCTTTCTTTTCTTTACATCAGCAACATCTCCATCACTGACAGCCTACCAAACAAGAATTATGGAAGACTAATGTCAGAAGGAGACAAAAATGGTCACAGAAAAAGAATCAGAAACAGAGAAGATAACTATTGGAAATATGAGATATAATCATCCCAGAGATATGCGAAAAAGAGCCTTCAAAAACATTTTAAGTTTCACTGATTACTGAGTTATGCTGTCTCTATCCCAGAGATATAATCTCAGTGTCTGACTCAACGCCGATTCTAAAGAAAATAAAATAAAATAAAAAAATCTTGTTTTCTGGGACCATTGTTTCATCCTTGGACATTTCACATGATCATAAAAGGTTTTTGTACTATGTTCCTACATGTTTGAAATCGTACAGTCCAACTTGGGACAAATAAACAAAGTTTGCATTAATAAACTGCCTCAACATGCCAAACATTTTATCTGGGCCAAAAGAGAGATAACTGTGCATTTTATTATGAAATTAACTTAATCCGCTCAACTTTCTCTTCATTTTAGTTCATGCTTTTCAATGCGATAATTCAATAAAGTCTGGATATATATGAAGGAAAAACTCAGTTATCCTTCAACACTTGCCAGATTCCAATCAAGTACAACAAGTGGCAGAGCAAATTAATGGCTAGAAAGACAGGAAGAAATAGATTATATAAATTCCATCAACAACCATAAGCCCTAAAATGTTAGATCACAAAAAGTTGGGAACTCCAACAGCTACATGTGTCCGCCTGCCATTGGGAAACAGTCAGCACATGAATTGGCGAAATGGGACAGGAATTTCCTAGGCAAAGTGATTAGAATATCTCTGGCATAGAGACAGCATAATTCAGTATAACGGTAGTGCAAAGGACTCCATCTTTCAACATTGAGATAAATGCTCAGAACGCTACAAAACTTTATTAGAATATGAATAGCATAGTATCTTATTGCATTTGTGAGGAAGTTTGAAAGGATAAAAGAGAGAAACTTTGGTACAATTACGTTCATTGTACCAGAGTTGTTAACAGACCAGAAATTCCCTCTTGGCCTGCACATACCCCATTCTGCAGTATTTATAAGGATGGAACCCTACTTTGGTAAAGCACATGACCAACACCATTGCATCAATTAAGCTAAGGGCATAAATGTACAAGAAAGGCAAAAAGAACTCTTTAATTGGATATTTAGTAGTGAATCTCTCAACAATTTGCAAAGAAATGTGATGAAATGCAACCATTGCTCAAATGTGCCCAAGCCAAGAAAATCAAAAAAGAATCAAGCATTCGTTAAAAACTGTTCAATACTAATCAAATGTTAAAGAAAGAACCTCTCACCTCCCCATTTTTTATTTTGTTGAGTAAATCTTTGACACGATCCTCAATGTGTTCGGTCTGTTTAAGCCAAAAGAAACGTATCAGCAGAAGAACACAAAAGTGAGTGCATACTTATTGCCATTTTGTAAGTAAAATATGCATAAATTAGGCATTAACATTGCAAGTAAGAGCACATCAAACAGAGATGCAACAAATGACTTCACCAAAATTAATAAGACAGACTACTTGAAAAACAATTTGAAAGAAAATTGATAACCGTTTGCACTGTTTATATGTTCATATTCATTTTTTAAACCTTCTGGGACAAGTATGAAATATATCTGCCTCACTTCAGCAAAAAATTGTCAGAGGAAATGATGATAGAAATCTTCATCAGGTGCTATGCTGCTACAAAAAATTTCCGAACCCCATCACTGCACATCAACCAGTTTTCATTTATACTAGGAAAAATAGTGCTTTGGCCATAAAGGTCAAAAAGCCTGACCCCAAACCACAACAAGTTGTTCTTTGTGCATCTTCTGAGGAGGATGCAGCTCGTTTTCTACTACTGAGAAATAGTGAGATGTGAAGATAAACACCGGTACAACAGTAGAAAAACAAGCAAGATTTACACTTCTTAAATGCGTAATTAACCTTCATAAAATGCATCCACTCAAGTGCCTAAGAGACACTGAACACAATGACCCAACTCTCATCTCTAACAAGCTTGAGACTTTATCGACAATGAAACCAGTAGAATACCATGGCCCCTCATTACAAGATCAGATCACAAGGGATTTTTTTGACACCATTGCTAATTTACTCAGCCACAGACTCAGACTCCGACATAAGGATGGAACCAAATGGCTTACCCCTTTCTAGGCCCACACTAACTCGCTTGCCTCTGATCCAAGGTCTTCATCTTCACATTATTGAAAACATGGAATATGGATCCGGACAGTGGGCATGTCGATTGGGAAACATGGAATATGGGCCGTGGTCTGTGGAGTTGATGGAAAGGGGAGAAATGTGACCGGAGGGGAGCATACAGAATGGAGAAAAGTTTCTCATTTTTCGGCAATAAATACTGTCCATAATGTACATTGTTGCGCAATATGGCCAACTACAGAAGGCTGTAGCTCCTTCCATGGATAAGTGATGAATTATTACCTTCCTCGTCACCCCCTGCTTCCCGATGTCTATCCATCCATTTTTCCTGGCCTGAGCGGACCCTATCTTAAAAATCCCATCGCCCAATTTCCTCTGCATAACAGGAGGATCGTAAGAACGACGATACAAACGCATGAAGTTTAGCCAGGGATAAAAAGCGGCTGATAAAATAAACCGTCAACCTTCAACTCGTCAGTGGAGATTCCCTCCGGGGGCACTCCGAAGAAGAGCTGCGCCTCAGGTGATCCGGAGGACGCGTAGGCCTCCCCCTCTTCAGTCAGCACCCAACTCTCCTTCTTAATATCCTGCTCCATCACCCAAACTTTCACCAAACATCCTTAAAGAACATACCAAACAAGGCACACCGTTGACACATATACGGAGATCGATTGGAAGACCTGCGCGACGACGAGCTGGAAACCATGGAGGCTCTTGATGACGTTCTCGAGCTCGCCGTGCAAGAGCCCCAAGCTGGTGGCGAACTGGTGCGAATCCGGAATCTCCTCGTTAGAATGGAGGAACTCCAGCACCGCCTCCTCTGTCCTCGCCATCGCCCCCCCTCTCTCAGCTCAGGCGGCGCTTCTTTCCCCGACGGCGGCGGCGCGGAGGAGAAACCGAGCGCTGCAGGAAAGAATCCGATGAGGAAGGCCAGCAACAGATCCGAACAGAAGGAGACGAACCCATATGCTGTTAATATTTTAAATCCGAAACATATTAAGGATCCGATACCGATTCGGGACAATCTCCACCGTCAATCGTTGAGAAGGAGCGGGCCGTCGGGGTCCAATAAAAAGCCCAAAAAGGAGACCAGGCCCATTTGGCTTTTTCAAGGTCCCTGTTACGTGGTTGCCCAGCGATCTTCCACGTGGCAGCGGTCCTCTCCTTCCTCTCCTTTTGCCGGGCTTCATGAGAACCATTGCTTGGCCCGGACCAAGCAGCTTTTTTTTTTTTTTTTTTTTTTTTACTGATTTTCAACGGGGTGTGCCTTACCAAATTTAGAAATCCATAAGAAGGTTTAGACGCACAAAAGGGTTTCCATTAGTTGTTAAATATATATATATATAAATTTAAAATTTGATATGTTATTAATTTGTAATGAGAAAAGGCCCGGGCCCATCTCTGTTGCTCCCCAGACGATTGAAGTGGGCTCACCTAATCCCGGGCCTCCCAGGCCTAAAATATGTGCGTTCTGATTTTTGAAGCCAATAAAACCGGGCCAGGCCGGGCTGGGGTTTTAATCATGAACCCACCAACCCTTGGCATACTTCGGACACTAGATGGATAATTTTGTAAATAAGTTTAATTTATATTATTGTGAAAATTATAAGGACGGAAGTAATAATTTCCCGAGGGATTTTCTAATAAAGAAAATCGTTTGCTTCCTAAATATTTATTGCTCTGCTGGGGCGGAGCTCACGATGTCCAGAAAAGATGGCAACATGGGCTGTGAGCTTACCTCCCTACGGTAGCGCCGCTTCTCTCGGTTCTGGCGCTCTTCAGGACGCGTAATTCGCAGGCCACGGTGACCGGGCGAGTGAGTGTAATCACTTGTGTTCTTCCTTGGTGTCCTGGGCCCTCAAATCTGCGTTTCTTCCAATTCAGATTGGGTTGGCTTCCCTCGAACCCACCGCCACTTCTCTCCCACTTCAGGCCTCGCTAGGGGACCTCCGCCGCTGCCATGGAGGCCTTCCAGTCCCCCTGCTCCCTCCAGATCCCCAGAATGGATGGGCTCCGGACATGGCAGCGCCCGTCGGTGCTGCCGCCGCCGGGCTCTGGGTGCCGTCGCCGCTGCGGATCCAGGTCCCGGTCCTTGGTCCTCGCCTCGGCTGTGGCAGCGCCGAAGAGGGAGACGGATCCGAAGAAGCGGGTGGTGATCACGGGGATGGGGCTGGTGTCCGTGTTCGGTAACGACGTGGATGCGTACTACGAGCGTCTGCTGGAGGGGGAGAGCGGGATCGGCCTCATCGACCGGTTCGATGCTTCTAAGTTCCCGACCAGATTCGCCGGACAGATCAGGGGCTTCTCCTCCGAGGGTTACATCGACGGTAAGAACGACCGCCGGCTCGACGACTGTCTCCGGTACTGCATTGTCAGCGGCAAGAAGGCACTCGAGAGCGCTGGACTCCATCTTGGAAGTCCTAACATGGAAAAGGTGATGCGTTGGTTCACGCCATCCGCATTTTTTGCAGTATTATTATTATTTCGGTCATCTGTTTTGCTTGACGTGCACTTGTTTGTGCTCTGTATGCATGTCCTTTCCCTTCAGCCATGTTCATTTCTGAGTGGCCGCATGTTTTGTTCAGAATTTTCTGAAGTTTGTCAAGCTTGTGTTTATATCTGCAGCGACATGTTAGATAAGGTTGATGTGTCCGTATCGAAGGCAGGGGGATTATTACCTCGACGAATGACACTTATGACAAGTAGTTCATTTATATTTGTAGAGGTGTACTTTTTCCATTTTCACCTTTTTTTTAATTTTTTCCAGTTCTTTAAAATCCAAGGATTGGACTGCCATTAGATCAGTTATGGCACTCGTTCACAAATTTCTACCCTAGTCTAACAATGACATGCATTGCCAGAACCTCAACACTGACCAGATTATCTTGCCATTTCATTTGGTGAGCTTCATGCTACTGCTATAGTTTTCATCATCCTATCAGCTATTCTTCTTGCTGCAGATACGCTTTAGTGGATGCAACTATTGTGCTTTAAATTTCGTGCTAGAAATCGAACCTGGACAGCATATTTTACTATTTTTGAGTTTGTTCGATAAACTTAAAGGCTTCAAATCCGTTATCTGTAATGACGTTTTCTACTGCATCCATATTCCCAGAATTTGCTGGCTTCTGACTTGACCCAGAACTAGAACCTGAACAGCGGTCATCAATTTATATATATAAATGGTAATCTGTTTAGCATTGCAAAATATTGAAGATGGATTTTAGGCTTTAGATTGTGTGGAAATCTGATGCAGGGTAGATTATTTCCTGACGAAAAACAATACCTTCATATTCTTAAATATTCAAGGTCAATTTGGTTCATGGATGGAGAATGACTTCATACTTAAGTTGGATCTGCGGTCTATATTCCATGTGATACAATAAGACTGTCTATTGAAAAACATTTTTCCTGGGTGATCATTGTTTTGCACTATCTTCAGTTCATTCTCTTATTACATTTCTCTAAAGATTTTTTTTTACTGGTGGAGCATGTATGATAAGCTGTCATGTTCCTCCAGATCGACAAGGTGCGTGCTGGTGTGCTTGTGGGGACTGGCATGGGTGGACTCACTGTCTTTTCTGATGGGGTCCAGGCTCTTATTGAAAAAGGGCACAAAAAAATTACTCCATTTTTCATTCCATACGCAATAACAAACATGGGTTCTGCATTGCTCGCAATGGATATTGGTTTCATGGGTGCAAACTATTCAATTTCAACTGCTTGTGCGACGTCCAACTACTGTTTCTATGCTGCTGCAAACCATATACGGCGGGGAGAGGCTGATATAATGCTGGCCGGTGGAACTGAAGCTGCTATTATTCCTATTGGCCTTGGGGGTTTTGTAGCATGTAGGGCATTATCACAGAGAAATGATGACCCAAAGTCTGCATCAAGGCCATGGGACAAGGAGCGGGATGGCTTTGTAATGGGTGAAGGTGCCGGTATTCTGGTGAGTTTTATCTTAATCTAGAACCACATTCATGGTGTATTTTTGTGTTGGGTTAATGAGTTTTGCTAATGACAGCTGCCCCGTATGTTTTTCTGAGTTTTTAATCAATTGATTATATCCTCAAGTTACAACGTATTGGCCTGTGGTCTGATGTTGCTATCTGACCAACATGTTGTGGGGCTTGCTTTAGTGGCAGGAATATTTCCTTTTTCTTTTTAAAATGGGTGTGGGATATGAAAGTTCTCCAGTTTTTGGGAATTCCTTTGTGAATTCACATTTACATATTCTTCTATGTTAACCTATTGCTAATCAGGAAGTTCGATTTACAGTTCCTATGGCTTAAGTATGTTGAGATTATATAGGAGTGGGTTGAAATGAAAATTATTTTCTCCAAAGATTTTATTTTTGTGAGAGGTTTTTGTTGATTGCCTGAGGAATGTGTTGCAAAACATTTCCTTTCTTTGGGGGTGAGGCATCTTTTAGGATAATTTCAAAAGTTTCATATATCAATTAAATGCTTTTGAGACTCGAATTCCCACGTCTGTTATTTTATCCTTTGGTGGCTGGCAATTGTTATAAATGCCCTTGAACTACGTCTTGGTTTTGCTGTCTTCTGGTAATTTCTTTTACCCTCACAGGTTTCGGTTCATAGGAGTAAGGTTGAACTTTATGGGTTTTTGGTTTCTTAGCGAATTCTTCTTTAAATATTCCGTATAAAAAATTTGAAGCTAGAATATCCATGTTGTCACAACCAGTTATTGTGAGTTGATACGTGTATTGATGCTCCTCAAGTGTTCCTTTTTTTGAGAATTTTTATCGACATTTCTTCTGTGGAAAGGTTTTGGAGAGCTTGGAGCATGCAATGAAACGGGATGCACCGATTATTGCTGAATACTTGGGTGGTGCTGTCAACTGTGATGCATACCATATGACTGACCCTAGAGCTGATGGACTTGGGGTTTCAACTTGTATTGAGAGAAGTCTTGAAGATGCTGGGGTGGCCCCAGAGGAGGTATTTCCCTTGCATACACTTTACTTATTTGATGTTTGAAGTTTCTTAGATGCCATTTTTCGGGCATTAGATACTATAAAATAAAGTTAGAAGTGTTGATGTGAGGCCTGTTGCATGTCCGAATTCCAGTCATACATAGTCGTGCATTTCCCTGAAATAATTTTGTTCCTAGGATGGAGAAAGTGTAACCTATCGATTTTTTATTTTTTATTTTTTACCTGGATTTATACTGTCGATTGGCATCGTGGGTTTTTGATATGAAAGTAAGCTAATGCATGTAAATAACACCAGGTTAACTACATAAATGCACATGCAACTTCTACAATGGCGGGTGACCTGGCTGAGATTAATGCTATTAAAAAGGTCTTCAAGAACACATCAGAAATCAAAATCAATGCCACCAAGGTGAATCCGTTTTTTAACTTGTTGGCATTTTTTTTCCATGTCTTCAAATAGGCGTTATGGCGTTGACCCTCTCCGCCTGACTTTCTTTCCTTCTTTAGTCTATGATAGGCCATTGTCTCGGTGCGGCAGGTGGCTTGGAGGCTATTGCTACAGTGAAGGCCATAAACACCGGGTGGCTTCATCCTAGCATAAACCAGTTTGTAAGTATTAGATCTCCTCGTATTGTGGGACAACAGACTATCATGTCAGTGCATATTTGTTTTCAATTGCATAATATGTCCATCTAAAATGCCCATTAAATCTGCCAACGCAAATATATTAAATAACAGTCCTTTATGATCATCGTAATAGTGATGCCGCATGTAGCCTGGACCTGTTCAACTTGTTCCTCGTAGTAAGATTGGTTGACTAGCCAGATGACTGGTTCTCCTGATGGCGAGAACATCTATACAAAGACTGGTTTTTGATTATCATATTGGAAGAAATGATTGGTTTCTCAGGATCGTAATTCGCATTAGCTGATCCGATTTTACAAACCCTATTGTTATCTGATCCGATCCAATCCAATTTGGAAGTTCCTGTGGATCATCGCATAATAAGATCACAATCTTTGATATGATCGGCCTCTCAGGATTGGGATTGTCATTGGATTATCTGATTTCTCGACCTGATTGTTGGCCGATCTGATCCAATTCGGGTGGGTCTGGGGATCAATATTTAACTTCGTGATTTTGATACCGTTTATTGTGTCGTTTTCGATTCCAGAATCCTGAACCAGCAGTTGAATTCGATACCGTAGCAAACAAAAAGCAGCAGCATGAAGTGAACATCGGTGAGTTTATTAATCTATAGAATTTTGCCCAGATTGATCTACAGAATAGTTTATCAATGCTTTCTAGTAATTTCCAATCACCGTATATATATATATAAACAAAATATTGACTCACCCAGATAGATTTGACATGTTATCATATTCTTATGCTCAGCACTTTTCCAATCCCTGTATGTACAAATACCAACAAGTAATTTGGTCACCCTGGTCAATTTATCGAATTATCTTGTTCTTTTGCTCTGAAAAAAATATCCATATACATATAAAAAAAGAAATCAGCTCACCTTGATCGATTTATATATCATCTTTTTCTTCATCTTTGTTGCAATCTCTAATAATTTATCTCTAAATGTGTGGAAGTAAACAAAAATCAGCTCACCCAGATGGATTTATGTACAGAAATGTCTAATCATCTTCCTATCTCTGCAGCAATCTCCAAATATCGTACTTATTTATAAATAGATGTATATATTCATCTAACCACCGTCGTCGTCCTGCTTGTGCAGCGATCTCTAACTCGTTTGGTTTTGGCGGGCACAACTCGGTGGTCGTCTTCGCCCCATTCAAGCCCTGACTCGTCCTAGTGCTGCTTCAAGTCTCCCATGAGACTGACCGACTTCTTTTCTGCGGCTGCTAGGAGAAGAGGGAGCTGGGATCTCTTAGAATCACGTGGTGCGTCATTTCATTGCTGTTTTAGGGAGATTCTTATTCAGTTTTGTTCTTCAGATCGGTCGTTCGTTTCCTTTGGGCATGTTCAGGGCCGAGCCACTTGTATTCATTTCAATTCCTCCTTTCTCAAGCAGGACTTTTTACATGAATCAGGATAGCCATTAGTTATATCGGATCATCCATTGGTGATCCATCTGAGCTTGGTCAACCAATATATCAATAAAGAAGCTAGGAAACCCCCCTCCAATGGGGCTCTTACAATACTCTTTGCTAGTTGATCTTGCATTATTTTTTCTACCTACAATGGGGCTTACTATGCTCACATTAGAGGGATTATTGAAATAGTATGGGGGTCTTTAGGCCCCCTTTTAGAAGGTACAAGCTTGGTGGATATATGTTTATGTATGTATATGTTTATGTATATGCTTGGTGGTTGTTAAGTGAAAAGAAAAGAGGTGAGCATAGGTTTATGTATATGGCTCATGGCCTCTAGAAAGGGAAATACTCACATTATAAAGGGCATATTGAAATATTATGAGGGTTTTTGGACCCCCTTTTAGAAGGTACAAGCTTGCTAGATAAGTGAGGCTATTATGTCAAAAAGGGTAAGCATAGGTTTTTAGAGGGCTCATGGGCCGCTAAAACAGGAAATACTCCATCTAATGTCCTTTTGGTGACACCAATCTGATCTTTTACTGATTAGCTACTTGTTGTAGTCTTTAAGGTTTGTTTGATGAATCTGCCAACCCTCACTAGAGGTCATAGGCTTAGCTGACCAAGGGTTGACTTTTTCTGTAGAGTAAGTGGAAAATAGAGTTTTGTCAACAATTTGAATGCACCTTTGAGAGATGAAGAAAGGGTTTGACTAGAGTTCTTTATTTGGAAAGCTTTTGTGTCAGTATTGCGCAAAAAAATATATTTTTTTAGAGTAAAGTTTGTGGTAATCTCCAAGAACTAAAAGTCAACGTGGTAGGAGCCTTTGGACATATGTCCGCTTAGCACCATCTTCCTCAATAATAACCATTGGTCACACATCAGTATGAGATCTTGACTTTGCTATTAATTTATTTTTTTATATAAAATAAAACTAATACCAGAAAATTATGAGGCTTTTTGAGTCCTGAAGACACCCATTATTAGCTATATTATTTTAGATTTATATATAAGAAATAGATATTATGGGTCCCCCAAATGAGCCCTTAAAAAAAAAAACCTCCATCTTTTCACCCACGTTTTCTTTCAAAATCCTTCTATTTATAGTAATAAAGCATAAATATACGAATATTATGATTTAAGACCAGTGTACACGTGGACCTGACCAAGAGTATGCCCACAAGTCTTATCGACTTCTATGAGATTAATGGTACTAATGTGGTAATAATACTTGCAATAGGTTTTTACTTTTGAAGCAGGTGCGCGTTAATGGCCCTATGATTTCGGTCAGGCCCGTTAGCAGGTTGGGCCAAATATGGGCTCCACATGGAATCCTGGAGCGGAGATGGGGGTATAATTCAAATTATTATACTGGTGGTGATGGCGGCTAGAAGAGAGAGAGGTAGCACAAGGTGAGAACAGTAGAAGCCCTCTCTCTCTCTCTCTCTCTCTCTCTCTCTCTCTATGTCCATCTCTCGATCTTTTCTCCTTCCTTCTCTCTCTATTCTCTCTTTCTCTCTCTCTATCTCTCTCTCGGGCAGACGACGGTGGTGAGAAGAGAAGGAAAGAGAGAGAGGGAAAGGAACGCCCGTCGTTCATCCGGCGAACGTAGACGAGGCGTTCTTCTTCAAGCTCTGATCGATCGGACCATTTCCTACCCGCTTTGCGCCTTCGAGATCGGCGCGGCCATGCGAAATCAAGGTGCAGCGGCGTCAGATGACATCGGCCGGAGCAGTTGCTTCTCCATCAGCACTCCTCTGGCTAAATCCGACGGCAGGGACCGTCATCGGTGCCCTCCTTCTCGTCAATACTCCCAGCAGCCGCACCGAGATTCGAGGAGGAGGAGAGAGGGGCGCGCGTCGAGATGGGATGTGGGCGGCGAGGGGCCCAGTCGGGCGGCGGGGGACTTTTCGGATCTGCCGTACGAGCTGCTGGCGAGGATCGCGACGACGATGGACGTCCCCAGCCTGCGTGCGGCGAGCGCGGTGTGCCGGTCATGGAGGGAAGCCCTCGGGCCGCTTAGGGAGGCCATGGTGCTGCTCTGGTCGGGAAAGCGCTTCAAGCACGGCCGTGGGGGATGGCAGCGGGACCCTCAGAAGGCCCTCGACTCGTTCCTCAAAGGCGCCGCGCGAGGTTCGGCTGCGGCCATGGTGGATGCCGGCCTCATGTATTGGGAGATGGGAAGGAAAGAGGAAGGCAGAGAGCTGTACAGGAAGGCCGCCGAGCTCGGGCACCCTACTGCTCAGTGCAACCTGGGAATCTCCTTCCTGGAAGGTTAGCCCTCTCCTCGTCTCCCTCTGGCTGCTGTTTCCTGATTCATTGATCAGCGTCGACCGGGTCAAATGAGGAATTTATTCATTTTGGTGGCCACAATCACTCTATGCTTCCCTTTTTTTCTCAATCCTCCCATAAGCTTTGAATCGCCCCAAATTTCCTCGAATATGAGATTCCCATGCGTATACTTCTGGTTACACTTCCGATTATGTGAGGGAACTCATATAATCATATAACTTGTCATTCATTCCTGCCTGGGTTCCTCTGTGTGTGTGTGTGTCTGTCTCTGTCTCTGTCTCTGTCTCTCTCTCTCTCTCTGTCTCTCTCTCTGTCTCTCTCTCTCTCTCTCTCTCAGCACTCACACATCTGGGCACAGTTCTTAAACTTTTTAAAGATGTACTCATGATTAGAGACACTTCTTGCATATGCGGAAGCACTTTTGTATGAAGTGAGTTTTTATTGGACCTGAGTTTTTATTAGATTATGGCTGGCAATAGATGTTCGAGTCTTTGTAACTCTCATCATTGAACGCATTTATTAGACCTTATTACATTTGATTATGGAGGGCAATCAGATGTTGTAGTCTTTGAAGTGTCTTACCATTGACATATTTGTATTCTTCCACACGATTCTTTTGTAACCACTGGTTCATGTGAAGTGTGAGACATTAATATTGCCAAAGACGATGATGTATCTGATTGTCCTGGAGTCGATTCATTTATTTGTTTATTTATTTTCCCATATGTTTCAGCCGACCAACCCAATCCCAAAGAGGCCGTAAAATGGTTCTATAAATCAGCTATATCAGGCTATCCGCGTGCTCAATACAGCCTTGCACTTTGTCTACATCAAGGTCATGGGGTGGAACACAATCCCATAGAAGCAGTAAGTTATAACGTTACGATTGTGGATTAGATTCCCTTCAGCATTCAGTCTTGCTTTTATTTTCAAACTGTGTTTCGATTTGCCTGCCATGGATCAAACATGGTGCCTCTGATTCAATCCTTTTCTCTGAATCCAGAAAGTAAGCTAATTAAGGTGATTTTTATGAATGTTAGATGCCCATGGTGAATTAGCCTTGGGCGAGAATAAGAATCTTGGCATGAGGATGGCAGGTGCTGGAGAAGTCAGGATCATTCCCAGATTTAAGAAGCATTCCTACACCTAAAACTTACAAAGTGCCAGGGAGAATTCTGTGTTTATGAAGCAAGTAAAGGATTTATTTCCACAGCGAAAGAAGAACTTCTTTCGGAAATTAAACAGCCTTTTGGTATCTTTTATGGAGAATGGGTTGCTGAAAATGTATTATCGTCTAGAGTATGTGTATTACCAACGAAATTCGATAGAAAAGACTTAAAGTATGATGATTCGATGATCTTTGAGGAAGGTGGAGTAGGAGGAAGCAGGGCACTGCCTTTTGCCCCAAGCGGTTTATGATGTTCTTATCCTTAAGGTACCTGCTGAAGAGCACGTTTGTTGGACTAAATTAGAATACAGTATTATCAATCAATCTTATATCAACCCTTAGTTGCAAGACGCAGAAACCCTTGATTAGCATGCACTGCTGGGCTCTCCAAGTCAGATTGAGGAGGATGGCTGCGGGGCAGTTGTTGCTTTAGAAGATTCAAGAAGATTCTAGAAGCGAATGAGGGAATGAGACTAAATATGGGGTGAAGAGAATTGGATTCGATGCTTACAAGGATTCTTTCCTGTCCATGGTAAGTTAAAAGAGGGTACTCGTTGTTGCTTTGATGCAGAAAGCATAGAGCAACCAAGCCCTCTTCAGAGCAGAAGGCACATGTACCCTCCAAAACAGGTGGTGAGCTCATTCTCCCCAGGAAAGGGACTCCAAACCTCAACAACACTAACATTTTCCTAATTCTATTTGAATTTCATTCTTTCCTTTTTCTCTTCCATTCAGTTCGGTAGATTAAAAAAGATCTTGAAGCTGATGGCCTTGTTGCTCATATTTGAGTACTCAAGATCTTGATAGTGGAGCTCCTTAGACTTCTAGTTAATCTCCTCTTCCCCACTTGTTGCAGGGTTTTGTTCTGTTGGAGATCTGATTGGTGCCTTGATAATCTTATCCTTCTTTCACCATCCATGAATATACTGAGTGATTTTGGTTTTTATGTATGGTTAAACTGTAACTAAGTCCATAAGACAAATATATTTTGAAGGAAGATCCCCTGTAATAGCCTTTGTTTGGAACTTCTGAGCAAGAGTAGGGAGTGTTCCTTGCGATATAAAGTATAGGGGAGGAGAGAAGTGGTGCTGAGATAAGGATTACATCGGCTGTGAATAAATATACGTGGCATGAAAAAATTCATGACATTTGTGTCTGTTGCTGATGGGTTGTGCTGTTCCACATAAGAGAATAAACTTCTAAGTTCCTTCTTTGTGGAGAAATTGTTTAAACAGATCAATGGATAGTATTTTACAAAAATGGGCCCTTTTGGCAGAAGGATTAGCTTGTTTCAGGTACAATAAAGACAATGCACACTTCTGAAGATTCATGAAAGTGGTTTCTGTTGCAGATGGATTATCCTTTTCTGGGAGTTGAACAAAAGGCTCTAACCGTATAAAGCCTTTCTTTGTAGTGTTAGTTTTAAAAAATAAACGGGTGTTATTTTAGAAAAGTAGGTCTCATTTGCATTCATTAAATACAATAAGAACACAGCGAGCAGGTTCTGAGTTGATTTTGGTGGTACATTTTAGGACTTAAGCGCTGAAACTAAGAGTTTCTTTCCTCTTGTGTGGCATCATCAAAGTCTGTCTACTTGCTTTATGTATAATCATCAGTCTAATGGAAAATCTTTTAACCTTAACCTAAATCAAGCACCGTCTTTTATGATACCATCAAAGTATGTCTTGTTTCATGAATAGTCATCAGTATAATATACAATCTTTGAATCTTTAACCTAAATCAAGCACAGTCATGCCCAGAAATTGGATAATGTATATAAATATACTTCTGAATGCTCAACACAGTCAATGTGTCCATAGTATGACAGCAACTTTCCAGGTTTTCAAACTCTCTCTCACCCCACATCTGACCTACTTGGATCTTCTTTCTCTCACATCACAAGCGTCATGAGCTCTCCCGTTTTTGAATTCTTTAGTGGAGAGGTGTAGTGAGATTAGGAGTTTGCCTTTTGGTTGGGAGTATGGCAGAATCATTCTGTCCATCATCTCCAGGAATTTTTTTCTATATCTATCTTCTGTTTGATACCTCCAGTTTACTGAATGACAATGACGTGTGTTGCACTATCTCCCAGACACTTGCACTGGGTGCTCTTTTTTCGGACATTGGCCATCACCAATAAAGGGTAGAGTGGATAACGGCTCATGTCGAACCAAGGATTTGAAATCCCCTGGTTACAATACCCATGTGTAGCTCATTCAGCCCACAGTGCTTGGTTTTCCATTCATTTTATGTGTTGTGGCCCCAGCTTTGGCCTCCACTTGATAAGCCTATCCCCTTTACATTATTGTATGTGGACACTCTCTTGGTGCTCTTGATCAACAACCTTGTTATCGGCAGGCTGGGGTGCTTATTCTATCTGCACTATTCTGCCACATCATTAGCTTCATGGATCCGATCTACCGCATTTTTGAAGATTTTCCCTCTTAAAAGAAGCCTGATTACCATCTTTTATTTACTATCAGCAAACTGCGAGAACAGACAGGCTGGGAAGCTCTTTGGCTGAATTTCATGATGGACTTGGGTGGAGTTTAGATTGCTGTCTTTTCACTGTCATTTGGATAATAATACTGGAACTTTTCTTTTCGCCGCAGGGAAAGTGGTTTCTGCGAGCTGCAGAGGCTGGCAATGTCCGAGCCATGTACAATACTTCAATATGCTATTCCACTGGCGAAGGCCTGCAACAGAGCCATCGACGAGCAAGGATGTGGATGAAACTTGCAGCCGATCAAGGCCACAGAAAAGCTCAACTGGAACGTGGCCTTGAGCTCTATTCGGTACTTGCAGAGCTCTGCCCTGTATTCTGCATTCCCATCGGCTTATAGATACCTTTCGCTTCTCCACCTATTATGTTAGCATGATTGTGTTTTTCTTAATGGTTGCTAAATTTCCAACTTTTTATTGCTAGAAATTAGTAAAAAGATAAAATTAATGAATTATCTTTGATATAATCCTGTGGGTCTCCTGAATTTCCTTTTTAACGCTTTTAAAGCTGTTTTCTTTTAATGGTGGAATAGTCCCACATTGAAGGTATACATGTACCTTCTCTACTCATTCCTGACTGGTTTTGTGTTGGACACTCTGGTTCTTCAACGGAGCATGTCAGGGGGTCTAAGAATCAGTGTGAAAGCGGCGACTGAGTTGGAATAATGCTACATCAAAGGGGATAACTAAATCATGTAGTTAAAATAAAGGAATCACCCTACTCCTTGTCTGACCTGATTATTTCGGCTCATTTCTTCATTTGGGGGGTCTCTTCTCCTTCAGAATTGACAGCAAATACTGCAGCTATTTCATCAATCAATTCTCTTCCGCTGACTTTTGCATCACTAATTGGATTCTTTCCGATTAAAAAGATAACAAGCCGAGAAATTGACCCATGGTCTCTATTTTTAGTGAGGGGGGTCTCTGAAGAATCGGCTCATTCAATCAACTCTCTTCCGCTGACTTTTGCATCACTAATTGGGTTATTTCCGATTAAAAAGAGAAGAAGCCGAGAAATTGACCCGTGGTCTCTATTTCCAGTCAGGGGACCTCATGAAGGCGCTTGTCTACCTTGAACTCGCCACACGGGCCGGTGAAGCTTCTGCCACACACATGAAGGAGGTAATCATGGAAGCTCTTTGCCCCGCATCGAGAGATCGTGCCATCGCATTGGCTGACAAGTGGCAGCTGCAGCATGCTCATCGCCACCACCCAGACTGTAAATATCCTTCACCTCTGTTGTGTTCTCTAATTTCTCTCTTCTCCTCTCCATTGATATCCTCATCAGAAAACCTTCATTATCTCTGCTGGGGTGCCCTTTGAGATCTTTGCTCTGAACAAATGAAGGATTTGCCTGTGCAGGATGTTGTGGGGTTCTGAAGCTGATGATTGGTATTGCGGTGTTAAGCAAAATTCTCTCTCTCTCTCTCTCTCTCTCTCTTTATAGAAAATGTATATATCTATGTGTATATTACATAAATGGGGAAGCGGCTTGGTCTGCAGTTTTGAAACTTTCTACAGACACAGACAGAACTTATATACTATGGGGATAACAGTGTGATGATCACATACGATGCTATCATGACCATAAATGTGGTTGGCCACGTATGCTTCCATCTACCGCTCACCTATTAACTCTTCTTGCAGCAGTTCAGTACAGTGGAAAGCTGAGCCTTGCCTTCCTAACCAGAAACATGGAGGCCAAGAGATGCTGTTTGAGCGAGGTCATACATACATATTAGATGATCCCACTCCTTGCTCAGCCTTCTTCTGGGGAACTTGGGTCTCTAAACATGGTTTCATCTCCATAATTTACTAGTATTTTTCATTGTGTGAATGAGATGGATGGATTTCATCATAAATACTGAGTCTTGACTTATGTGATGCCTTGAAAAACCTAACTTTGAGAATGTGCTCTACTTGGCGGTATTTTTTTCAGATCTTTTTTCTATGTTAAGGTGTTCAGAGAGAAATATTATGAATCTTGGATGGTCCTTCATTGGCTTCATCTCAATGCTTGCTATTTGTGGTAACTAGGGCTCTCTAATCCTAACACTGAGAATTAGTCCAACTGTTTGTTTCTGCTTTGGAAATTCTATAAGCTTGTTGTGAATCGAGATTCATTTTTATGATGTTCAAGATCTAATAAATACTTGATTAAGAGATAAAAAATTAGGCAATTTAGTTGAGCTGTGATTAGGGATACTGAAGTTTTCAAGCGCTAGCTAATTACACAGTCAAAGGGTGGGTTTATCTGAGAAGAAGGGATTTATTATTTATATTATGTGGGTAGTAGTATTTAATTATTCTTTCATACATTTGTAGGGCATTCAAGTAAGAAAAAATTAAAAGATTAAGCAGCTATATAAAATTATATCCAGCGGTATTAGCACTGGTCAGGAAGAAAGCAGGAAATGGGTGGAGGGTAGCTAGCAAGCAATGCCCTAAGATCATTAGAGGATGAACCTTCATTTAGGGTTTTAGTTTATATTTATTTATCACAATGGGTAGGGTCTCTCTCTCTCTCTCTCTCTCTCTCTCTGTATGTATATTTATGTCACCGCTATCTTCATTAATACAAGGTTAGCTATTGAAAGGATGAGTTAATAGGTGTTCTGATGTGGGTATACTCTTGAATTTTGCGAGAGTGGCTCTCTCTCTCTCTCTCTCTCTCTCTTTCTCATGCGTTTTCGCCTCTTTGGACCATTTATTGGGGTTTAGATTATCTTAATCAGCGTAGACCCGGCCATCACTAGGGCAATCTATTAGGTTCTCGGATGTGGACATTTTCCTAAACTACTATAAAAAGCATGCATGCTTCTCTCTCTGTCAATGTGTTCTTACGGATCGGGGTTATCTTCGTCAGCATATATTCATTCAGCTACCAAACGGGTGATTCAGTGGGTCCCCTGAAGTGGATTACAAAGTCCGAACCAAATCATTTTTCTTAATTTGGGAAAAAAAAACCTATAATCATCATCAACATTAGTCATGCATTTGACCCAAAATATTTCTCTCAGGGGCACCGATGGAGACTGATGTGGGTCCCATATTTTGCAGTCAAAACTATCACAAGACTTCCGAAAACACTTCATACCGAAATAGGAGAGAGCCCTCACAAGTATTCTCTTCATGAAGATTGCCAATAAGAAGAGGCCACCTAAAGCATGAGTCAACGCAGAGAACTATCATGTATGGATGTTATACAGACTAGAAGATGGTCCTACAAAAATATAGAGGGAGAGAGAGAGAGAGAGAGAGAGAGAGAGAGAGAGAGAGATTGGATGCGGCAGCAGCCCTGGTTGGTGAAATATAAAGTACAGACAAGTTTGGGGTGACCCTTACCCCCACCGGAGTCGTGCACATGAAAGCTTATGTGGAGGCTGGCGGCGGTGGGGGCATATTTGGCATCATGGGCATGGGTGGCGGGGGGGGCATGGGCCTTCCATTCATTTGCTGCGGTGGTGGCATTGGCCTCCACATGGGTTGTGGCAGACCACCTCCTGCCGGAGGGGGTGGTGGCCTCGGCATCATTCCCTGAGGCAGCGGCATCATACCTTGCGGCGGCGGCGGCGGTCTGAACTGTTGGTGTGGCATTGGTGCCATGGCGGGATGTGGTTGAACTTGCTGCTGTGGCTGCCCCGGCCATGGTGGCTGTGCTGCCATCTGCATGGTGGCGTAGACCCCGGCCTGAGGGGGAGGCGGCCGAACCGGTGGCAGAGGAGATGGATGCATCGGGCCATTGGAAAATGGCCTGGGAGGGCCCGGCGCACCCATTGGACCGCCTGCAGGTCCTCCATTGGGCAGAGTAGGCGGCCCACTGGCGAACAACGTGTGGGGCCGGCTCTTCTGCACTCCTGGGTTGCTTGCAGCAAGAACCCGCTCTGGGAATTGCAAACAAGTAAGAAGAAAATTACTTCTAAAGTTAGCAAAAATCCGTACTCTTTCGAGGAAAAGGAGAAATGGGTATTGAGAGTTTCACACATGCATCAGGCTATGATGAGATTGCAGAACATCTCAAACCTCTCATTGAATTCAAATATATTTAAATTGTTCAGTTTTCAATATATATGCTCTCAGTGATATAAATAATACATAGATATCTAAAATTAGGTTGAGGGTTTAGAGAAAAATTGGGGTTTTTTTTCTTTTGAAAGTTTTAAGGAACAGACCTGCTGGAGTACCATGACGCTCCCCCTTTGTGTCTTTCTTATAAGCATATGAAACCGTGATCTGTCTATTGCACAGGTACTGCCCATTCATGGCCTACAAGAACGAAAGGAAAGAACAGAAGAAACATAAAAAAATAATGGGATATATATAGTATTAATTAAGTAATCAGCAGAATGATCTGTAAAAATTGAGCTTAGAGTAAACAAGCGCCTACCTCTATTGCAGCATCAGAGGCCTCAAAAGAGTCATAACTGATGAAACCAAAACCTCGGGAGTTACCAGTTTCAGGGTCCCTCATTATCTGCATGAGTAGAAAAATATCTTAAATTAGGATAAGCAGAAGAACTGAAAAAGATTATGCGTAAACTAATAAACAAGAAAGAAAATACTTCTCAGAATGCAGCACGGTTTTGTAAAGGATGAACCGTCAGTAGTATTAGTTTAAGATGATTGTGTCCACACTAGAAATATTGTGTGGATGAGCACAAGGAAGTAAAACACGCCAGGATAGAAGCATAATAATTACCTTTGGATTGCTAACGATGACACCAAATGCACTGAAGGTATCGTAGAGGAGCTTTTCATCCACATCCTGTAAATAAATAGCAATAAAATACTCAATATCAGGGTTGCACATGTATTTGACTGTGACATTTTCCTGAATTGTGAGCAGTTTTCTTTCTGCGAGTTTGTGCACGAAAAGGAATAAGGGGGGAAAATTGAGTGGGTTGGTGGGGAGAGAGAGAGAGAGAATTGAAAGACGTATATACCGGATCAAGGTTCCCTACGAAAAGATTTGCCCCTACGTCCAAACTCTTCTTATCTTGTGAAGCCTACAATAGAAGCAAGATATCAACGAATTCATTCCAAAGAAACTGCAAAATTGATCAGTAAGAAAAGTGAAAATGATGAAATAGACTTTGAATGAAAACATGAGGCGATCAATTATATTCATGAATGCAGCTTGTATGAAGCATTCAGAAGTTTAGGCAGCACACACTGAGGAAAACGTAGTATGTAATGATTTTTCAAACAATGCAACATTCATCTACTTGCAGTGAGCACTGTTTGAACATTGAAGTGATGATGAAATCAAAGGCAAACAAAAATCGCATGAAAAACACTCAACTACGAAAGACCCATACATCTTCATTCATTCGAGCAGGAACACCGAAGAACGACATCTCAAAAATTGGACAAGGTAAATGAAAACACAAGGATATCCACATCATGATTCTACTACGCTCTTGAAAATGGAAGATGATAGAAAAATGAGTTCCAGGGAAAGTAAATGAAGCATGAAAAATATATGGCGGACCAAAATAACTATATTAACATGGAAATGTATAACACACCTTATTCACCCGTATTGGCTTTCCATAAAGCTTGATCATGTTTAGAATTTTGATTGCCTGCGAGAAATGAGATACCGTCACAGGTGAGTTGACAACTGCCGTCTAGTCACAAGAAAATTATCACAAAGGATTTTGAAGCGTCACAGTGTGCCAAAAAGGCAATTTCATGGTTGATTATACCCACGTAGTCAGCATCTTCTTCACTCCGGAATTCAACGAACCCATATCCTTGATGAAGATTTGTTACTCTATCCTTCGGCACATAGACATTTACTGCAATAAAAGTGTTTAAATTTTTTTAGGAAACAAAAAAGTGTTTGCGTGGAATGTTCAGGGGCACAAATAAGTCACGTGGTCCTACTCTATTCAGTCAAGTTCCTCTATTATCCCGGATAAAAAAGACCAGGGTTTACACACGTGCATATATACACGGACGCTCTCGTTTCTAATGGCTCCAGATAATATTTTCAGTAACGGGAGCCTGTGCCTAAGGATTAAGAGAGTGTTAGAGCTTACCAACAGGTCCTGCTTGCACAAATAACTCCCATAATAGTTCCTCGGAAACCTGCAATGGGATAGCGAAAGATTACAATAAATCAACGGAAAAATCGAATACCACGTAATCAAAAACTTGCAAAAAATAAATTAATTTAGGTTTTTGAGCCGTACTCCCGATATGGTTCCCAATCATTGAAAAGACTATCCAATTACCATTAAATTTCCCTCGACATTTTTCAATATGCTACTTACTAAGAGAAACGGGCCACCAATCGTAAGGTGCTATATCCTACATCAGCCTGTATCACCCGCTGTAAGGGGTAAAATGGCAGCATTTCCATGTCTTTTCACACTAGTAGCATCATGATTTCCACGAAACATTTCTCTGAAGCATTAGCGTTCGGAGTAAACGAGAGAACTGAGATTCCCCGACCGCGTCACCAGGGCGAGAAGACCAAGCATGAAGCCGGCGCCAGGACGAGAAGCGGGACGACCAGTTCAGCCATTCCAAGTACCAGGACCACACGGATAGCAAAGGAGCCACCGTAAACCCTAGAAATGAGGAAGCTCGAGAAGATTCGGCCATGCGGAGGTGAGCAAGAAGTAATACCTGGGGGTCGAGGTTTCCGACGTACACAGTTGCGTCCTGGTTCCTCTCGGCAGCGTGCTGGCCGAGGAGGTTCGCTCCCACGCCGGGAGCGATCCGAGTAGTCATCCCGCCTCTGCTCTCCCCCTCCGGCCTCCTTCCGCCACCACCTAGGTCACTCTCTCTCTCTCTCTCTCTCCACCCCCCTTCTCTCCCTCTTTCCCTCCCACGATATATATATAAGTATACCCCCATTTTGCAGACGACCCTCCTGATCAGTCAGTGCTCGGGCCTGGATCGGGCTTGTAATCAGGCTCGGCCCGTGATCAAGGGAGGGGGAGGCTACGCGGGCCGAGCCCGAACTTGTCAATGATAAATTCAAATAACATACATTATATATATTAAAATTATATCTGAATGAGTGAATAAAAGAAAATATTTATATTTATAATAACAATAATTTGAATTTAGGGTTATTCAGGTGTAGGTCCACTTAAACCACTCGATTTATCTATTTACTTGGTGCTCTAGGTTCCCTATGAATTTAATAGCAATTAGTTGACTAGATAGAAAGTCTCATTGTCAGAAGTTACTTGACGTACTCCCAATAGGTTCATCAATAAAACCTTAGTGAGTAAAATTAGTATGTACCATCTCTTTGGCTACTAGTATCCTTCATTGATCTTTTTCTTTGAAACATTGGAAGGGATTATCATTTCTCTCTCAGCCTTTTATTAGTATAAAGCGTGATCATGGAAACTCATCTTAGTGTTTGGATATGTGTGTAAACAAGCCGAAGAAATTCTCTCTCATAAAATACTAAAAAATTAATGATTTAATCTTAATTTTTTTCTTGCCTAAAGTCCTTGATGTCCAATTTTCATCTCTTATTACGTAGATTAAGCACCTTAATTTCAATGTTATTTACTAAAGTTGACAAAAACATGAACTAAGTAAGTAAGCCTAACAAAAAGATAGTAAGTGGTATTATTGATCAGCTGGTAATTTGTTAGAATTTAGGGCTTTAAATTGGCCGACATCTGTTTTTAACTGTTCTTAAAATTGAATTAGTTAAAAGACAAAATCAAAGAAGATAAAAAAAATCAGAACAGATACCTTCAAATTTTATATGTTTCGAACATGGTTTTGGGAGAGTCATTTGAATATTTCACCCCAAATACCTGCTTGACCTTCAAACGGGTCAACAATTTTTTGCCTCTCTCTTCACTGCAATAGATTCGACTTGGATATCACATTAATTTTCTTCAGATCAAAACCTTGAAGAAGATGAGTTTACCATCCTCTGTCACTTCTAACCAACACTCTGATCTGACATTCTAGATATAATTGACACAAACAAGCGACATATCATGAAAAATTAACACTGTAAGAAGAAAACAAATCACGAACTCGCTCAAAGTTCTTTGAATGAATTCTCCTCATCTTCAATGAAAGACGGAAAGAGACAGAGATCTTGAAAGAGAAGATATTGTGTGGATTAATTCGAATATCATGCTTTTGTGCGAGTATTTACATATCTCATCTACAAACAGATGGCGATGGCTTATTGATTGACAAATTCCAGATGCTATCTGACGGCGGTAGGGAATTCCTGGGGGTCCCCTAGCAGGCGCGATGCCTTATTCCATTGTGTGCATATGCGGGGAGACTACTAAGAGGCTTCATCGCAGATGGGTATCGCCAGTTGATTGACAAATCGCTGATGGTACCTTACCGCGTAGGAACTTGGGTTGGTCGTGGTTGGTGCAGCATTATTGGGGGTCCCCTAGCAGGCGGCGATAGAACTGGATAAGCCTTGTCCAGACGCGACGAAATCCGATGTGGGCAAAGCGAAGAACAAAGCAGTCTCTAACGAGTAGGAGAAAGCCAAGCTTGATAAGGCAACTATCAGAGGAAGGAGGATAGTGACTAAAAATACGCAACTTTTGCAGACTAAACACAAGTTGAGTAACTTGAAAGGAAAATGATGTGGATACGACGATTGCCCAAGAACAAGTGGTAAAAACTCGAATGAGAAGTAGTTCGATAAAAAGTTTGGAGTCATTGGAATATTTAAACACTGAAAATACCACGGAACTTTACGTTCTCTTAGGTCGTTTTTGGTTCAGATTTTTTGAATGGTAGTAGTTTGAAATTAGGGAGGCTGATAGCTAACCAGCTTCGGTTATGATGGACATCCGATAGAGATCAAATTTGAGTTCAGGTTTTGGACTTAGGGAATGCAAATGAGATGGGTAAAAACTAATACGGTAGACTGTCCTTTTCGTTACCCAAGACGCTTAGAACCTTATCGTAAAGCAATGGTATTAAAACTGACTTCATTGAAGAACCTCGAAAGCCGGAAGCAATTCCATACCTTTCACGGACGCTCTGTTGGAAATACTTTCTCCTCTGAATTATGAATCTGGCTGCTAATGAGTGTTAACACCTCCCACCATGTGATAGTCATCTTTTAATTTTGGAGAAGTCCAACGAGATTAAAGTGTAATACATTAGTTTTCACCTCTTGAAGCTAACTACAGAATTTCTTCAGTAAATAAAGATGGGCGTATGACATCATGCGGTAAAGAAGAAGCAAAGAAGTCTACCAACTCTGAATCGGAGGCTTTTCAAAACTCCGCAAACTTCCCTCATTTTGGGTCCGCGTTATAATTTTTCATGTGATTTGATTCGATATCATGGCCGTTGTCGTCTTCCAATGCGTGGCCAATCGCCTTTTGCATATTTTTAAACTGCAATCGGGTTGCCATTTGATGGCTCAGCACAAGGGCATGCCTATAAGTATCCCGTCTCGTCTCACCATTTTCATCCAACGACTGCCAACGGGTGAAGGAGAGAGACCGAAAATGGTATCCTGGAGGCCGTCGTCGGTAGCGCTCCTCGTAGTTGCCTTGGGCTTCGCTCTACTCCACCATTCTTCCGCCCAGAACTCACCTGCTAACTACCTAAGGCCGCACAACGCTGCCCGAGCGGCGGTGGGCGTGGAACCTCTCACCTGGGATCCTACTCTTCAGGAGTACGCCCAGAACTATGCGGAGGAGAGGGCCGGCGACTGCGACCTTGTGCACTCTCAGGGGCCATATGGCGAGAACATCTTCTGGGGCTGGGGGAAAGTCTACAACGCCAAGGATGCGGTGCAGTCGTGGGTAAACGAGGAGCAATACTATGACTACGACAGCAACTCGTGCCAGGAAGGTAAGGTCTGTGGTCACTACACTCAGGTAGTCTGGCGGAACACGGAGAGGGTCGGCTGCGGCCGTGTGCGGTGCGACTCCGGCGCTTACTTCATCGTTTGCAGCTACGATCCGCGGGGTAACTGGGAAGGCGAGTGGCCATATAGGTTTTCCTCCTAGGGATCCCAGCTCCACAAATGAGACCCTAAACGTGGATATCGTTCTGTTATCTGTCCAGTTGTACTGATGATAAATGTGGGTATGGAAGCGGAGAATTGGGCGCGACCCAATTTTCCTTTGAGCTTGTATCATGATGAGGTTCTCTATAATAAATGGTTAAGACTCGTTTTCGCATCGCGGTGTTCTAAGAAACTCTGGAAAAGTGTTTTTTTTTAAGACAGTTGTTGATTAATGAACTCAATGCTTCTTAGAGCGATTTCATTGTCAACGAGGATTGTTTACTTTGATACATCAGTTAAAAGATTGTGACTTTAGTATTTGGGTGCGTGATCTTTGTTAATGAAGGTTGCCGTATATGGTGTATCATGCATGGGATCACAAATGATAATTGGTCAAGTTGTAACTAGATTCCATTCACAGCGACGGGAAAACGCTGGCTCTTTTTGAAAACGAGCGTGAGACATCGAAAGAGAGGTTAAGCGAAGATCTATCATTCAAAGCAACGGGATGATGACGCAGCCAACAACGAGAACCACTTATTGACCTCAATCTGGTATCATCTACGAGAAGGGATTAAAAAAAACGCCCTATTTTAGCAGTGTTCGGATCGGACCGTCGATTCCAAGGGCAGAACCTCGGATAAACGTCCGAGGGGAAGCGAATGTATTCTACATTCTTTCCTTACACAGGAAAGACCCAATTGAGGAGCTCAGAAAACCTGAGGGGGGGGGGTCCCACTGTAACAATGTCCGATATGGGACTAACCATGTGGATACCCCCACTCCATTTTTCTTTCCACAGAATACAACAAGCACAGTGTATGATCTATTGGCAGACTGTTGTTGACGTAACCGGGATCTTCATAATGATATTTGTATGATTAGGGATGTATTTTCCTTGGATTCGTCGTGTGTTGTTTCGTGATTATTTCAATATGTATCAATGAATGGGGATACGAAGCATTTTAATGGGTCACTTCTAACATGTAGCCCAGCAGGTCTCTCCCAAACACAACTCTTTTAAAACGCTGATCAGCATGTCACCCTCGTGGACATCAAATCGACAGTAGGTAAGCCGTAACCCCGACGTAGGAAGATCTCTGCAGTTATCAGACCGCCATAATTCACCTACTCTCTCTCTATCTGCTTGCTCTCCTCTTCTGTTGTTGTGTCATCGGATATTTTGTCCCCATTTGCCTCCCAGGATCTTCATTCCTCCCAGCATCTACCCAACATTTTTGTGAAGACTTGTATTCTCGAGCTCTGGTTCAGCAGTAGATATTCTTTCACCATGGGTTATGTTCTTTTTCTCCACACCGATGAAGAAATTTCTACGTTAATCATAGAACTCTCTAAGCATTATGTTTTACTATATTTTCTCATATTTTTCAAGTCCGTATTTTATCGCATAAGAGTGCAATCTATTCACGGCATTCGTAAATAAACGCTATAATGCTGGAGGACCAGCTATGTTCAAACGCAGTTGGCAAGTGTTACATTGTGACCGGTTACAGTTATGAATGCATTCCGTGCAGCGATTATCAAGATTAACTGAATGGGCAGGTGATATTGGCAAATATGTATTGGAGGGGAATTCATGCCAGTTACTGGTGAAGGCTTTGACTGCACTGTGAATATCTAAATGAGAAGGGAGGTCACGGTGGAACCTGGCTAGTGATCTGGTCTTTGAGCCTCACTGATTGTTCAGGACGGGCCGAACATATGTCTATGGAAAAAAATTTGATATTGACGGTCTCGTTTTATTATTTTGAACCATTTTGGTTCATGCTCATGTAACAGAAGGTTGAACCTTTTTGTCGTCACTACATCTTCGATTGTAGTGTGACAAGCGTGACGGGGACGAGAACGCGTCAACCCTGGAAGGCAGAGTGCCAGACCTGTGATGGGATGCCGGGCGTCGTCTGGGAAGGACTCAACAACGTTGCCTCAGCTCAAAGCAGTCTTGCGCATGCCGTCCATGTGGAGGGGGCTGCCATTCTCGTTCGTCGTCTTAATCGGAATATATTCACGTTCAAGCGAATATACGTGGATACTTTGTTCCCAGCTGTTTCATATAGTTAACTGATGTAAGACGTGCTGACCAACTTCGACATGGTTTAGTCATGGGGGGTCCCACTGGCGGCGGCAGCAGTAGAGCTGAATGATCCTCATCCACACACCCCCGATGGGACATTCAACTTGGGAACAGGGGTTCCGTATCAGTCTCCCACGAGTTGAATAGAGAGAAGACGCAAAAGCAAACTTGATCGAAGAAAAGGATAATTTTGAAAGAGACTCAATTACATATGTTAGGGAGATTTAGTGATCCCATTTCCTTTCCGTATGTTTCCCTCTTCAGAAGTGCGTTTCACTTGATTTTCTTTATATCCTCCGCGATGTTTGTGTTCATATGATACGTGGTGAAAAGAGTTTGCGAGCTTTGCATCTCGATGTGTCGACATTCGAATTTCATGGTTTTAGAAATCAGAAACGGCCAAACAGTTCATCAACTTCATGCACAATTGATCGAGAGAAACTGGCCCTTCGTAAACGTGGGTCTTCAGGGCGACATTTGTATGAATCAGATAGAATGAATCGCTACGATAAGGTGGGTTTTCCTGCGTTAATCCTTGTGCTCTGAGTCTCGTCAATACATGCACAATTTCCGTCTCGAATGACGTCCAGATTCATCCATTAAAGATGTTGTTATTGTTTAGTTGGGTTTATATTGGCCTACGAACCAACCTAGGCGGATTGTCTCTCTTCAAACACTGCAAGTGCTACCTCGCGACTGGTGAATATTATGATGACATTCCAGGGATAAGTCCTCAACATTGACTGAAACATGACCTTGATTGATCCCATGCGTGAAATCAGATGGAGTGAGGTCGAAAAATATGAACTCGAGGAGAATGATTTGGATTTGCCATTCTGCCCTGGAACGGCGGTGTGTCTGTCTGCCTGGAAAGATAAATCCGCATTATTTTTTCGGTTCGTGCCTCCCCTTCTGGGTCTCACAGATTGCTCTCATCGAGTGGAACCAAAGCTTCACAAAAATAAAAGACAAATTACCGATGGGATCTCAGTGCATTGGCTTGGATCTTTCTTGTTCATGGTAAGCAATATCTACTCGGGTACAGAAGGTAAAATGTCCTTGTCTGTACTTGCCGCCAAGATGTGCCATGAGTTTGGTGGGGTTGGTGAATGCAAGAAGAGGTCAACCTTCACTTTTCACCAAGGCAAGCATTAGATCAAAAGTTCTCGGATATTTTCACTAGGACAATGGATTCTCTCCAGTCTGGGCGAGGGAAGTGCGGAGAACATGAACGTATAAGCCTTCACATTTCTGAATCCGAGACTGAGATCAGAAAGCCAGGATGTAGAGAGTATAGCGTGGGTAGGTGGCAGCCGGAGTTTAATTGTGTGGGGCCCAGAGCCGGCGGCGGGATCTCACCGAGTCTCATCCACGCAACCCCAGCGACAAAATCCCACCGGTGGATGATGACAGATGCAAAAGAAGACGATGATGATGAGATGTAGGTAAGTTGTGCCGGAGGAACATTAAGCTAGCATAGAAGGCAAGAAGAAGATGTAGTTACAGTGAACGGTCCTACAGGAGAAGAAAAACTACAGCGGACACTTTTAGTTGTCTTACCTTAATACCTTAATATTCATGAAAGATGTTTGAAAATTGCAGAAAAGACATGGGCTTGCATGTCTTGGTTTGTTGGCATTTTTACTATGGTTGTTGGCATTTGAGATGTAGTAATTTTCATCAAGGTATACTGATACACACACACACACACACACACACACACACACACATATATATATATATATATATATATATATATGCAAAATGAGCTCTAGATCTGCTAGTTAAATCTAATAAGATCAATCTAATGAATGATTTAATGATGAAGTTTACAATCTTAGATGTTCGAAACAAAGTATGAAAAATTATTATTGTAGATGGCTATCTTCTAGAATCACGACATTGGATCTCGACATTTAGACATTAATGTGTAAGAATCTTGATGGAAAAATAATATAACTAATGCATATTGGATCCTCATTTGAATTCAAGACCTGCCAATGAGTTGGAGAGGGAATGAAGATGGCATCTTGCTGGCTCTCGGTCTATAATAGTTGTCGAGGACTATATAAGTTTACTTGGTTTAGTATGTGCTTGTGATATTAGATTATTACTTTTGAATGATTTTGATGTCAAATTAACTAATTGAACTTGAATTGTTCATATTATTACATGATTTTTTAAATGTTAAAATATACAAATGATATGAAATATTTACATATAAATGATAATTGTAACTATTAAGATCATGATTCAAGATGTAATTTGGATAAATGACTTGACAATCATATTTTATTTGAGGTAATTTAGATAAATTTCTATCACTCAATCATCATTTTTTAGACATATATTATGAATTATGGTTAATAATATTGGTTCCTCAATGAATTGATTAAAACAAATATGTTTTGGATATAAATATTATTTTTTAATGATAATGTGTATTCATTATTACATGTTGACAAAAGAAGAGAAAATCTTAGAATTGATGATTGAAGAAGAGGAATACATGAGGTTAGATAAAAGAAGATAAGAAAGAGACAGAGAGAAGGAGAAGTAGAGATCATGGAGGAAAAGTAAGGATGTGGAGAGAATAAGTCCAAATTTAGCTTAGTGACCCTAATAGGCCTATTCTAATAGTCTCCCCCAAGCTAGAGCATATAAATTAAACATGCCTAGCTTGGTGCATGTCGCATTGTAGGAGATCTTCACAAAACTTTTGGTGGAGACGTTCATGAGCTGATGGATGAGATAATATGTGGAGTAAAAATATCATCTAACATTACCTTATCTCATATGTAATGGTAGTCAAGCTCGATGTACTTCGTTTGCTTATAAAATTTAAGATTTTCAACAATGAAGATGGTGGCCTAATTAGTATAGTACATAGGCATTGGCATAAGAGA